GGCGGCATGGGCGAGTCTCCCTTCCTCCTCCATCGGTGCGATGACGAAGGAATGAGGTTTGAATCTTCAAACTGATCTCTATGAATAGAATTAGGAGGATACAGAAGATGAGGACGCGACGCACGTCAGTGAGTGCTGGGGTTTCGGTGGGAGGGGAAAATGTGGTTGCATCCAGAATCCAGAGGTGCTGATGGTGAGATTTTCCTAAAGGGGATTGTTGCATTTTAGGCCCTCCAAGATTTGTTATGGCTAAATTGTGGAAAAAAGCCTTATAGTTTCACCAACCTTACAAATAAGTGACTCTTAATTAGGGTGCAAAACGATCTGAATATATCGGGACCGACCACAGCTGTATCTATTTAGAAAGCGGATATGATAGGAAAAGATTACAACCATTCGGATACGGTTTGGTTTGGTTTTAGTTTTGGTTTTTCATTCGGTTTCATGTACGGTTTCGGTTTGGTTTTATTTTGGATTTTCATTCGGTCCCGGATACGATTTCAGTTTGATTTTAGTTTTAGATTTTCATTACGGATATGATCTGAATATCCCGATGTGTATAACTCAGGTAATTTTTATAATTGAGTGTTCCGTTGGGCCTTTATATATACAACCCATCTTATCCTTTACCCGACCCGATTTAAATTCAATGAAAATTCTCCCGATAGCAGAGATCAAAATGCCCTAAAATTGACGATCTCAAAGGCTCCGCCTTCGACTTCCGCCTTCGACCTCAGCCGTCTCCAAGCCTCCGCCTTCGACTTCAGCCGTCTCCAAGCCTCCGCTTTCGACCGACTTCAAGCCTCCGCCTTCAAGCTCGACCGACCATCAACAGCGACCTCCGAAAGTTCTCCTCCTCGGTTTCTTCTAACACTAAGGTGAATTCGAAACTCTAATTGGTTGAATGAAAAGCCCTAATCTGTATGATAAAAAATCGTAATTTGCTAGCCCTTCGTTGAGTGGAAAGCCCTAATTTATTTGATAAAAAGCCCTAATTTTCTATCCTTTATTTACTGAAAACTGAAAAGACCTAGTTTGTTTGACAAATGATTTAGCTTAAAATTTTGTGAAGTTCTAGATCACATGCACCTTGAATTAAAGTAGTAAGTTATAAGCTAAAACTTGCTTCGGAATTAGGAACTACAAGCTACTAAAATTAGTGCTCAAAAATTTCAACTGATACCTAAGTGCCAATTCCACCCCCATTCCCAATACCCACAAACACACAAATAAATAGAGAATGCACATTGATGTGTAACTGTAAGTTTGTAATGTCCTCTCTCTCTCTATATATATATATATATATATATATATATATATATATATATATTTGTCATACCCTATTCATATCCGTTTCCCAAATATTCGATTAATATCGGTATCATATCCGTATCCGACTCTCTAATATCCGAACCGTAACCGTTTCCGTTTAATGTGGATATGATAATGCCTTTTTCTTACCGATGAATATCCGAACCGTATTCGTATCCGTTTTTAAAAAACAGATATGGATATGATATGTCATATTCGAACCGTATCTGAACCGAATGCACCCCTACCCTTAATCCTAAAGATAAATACTGTAAAGGTTCAAAACCTTGCAATTAAATGCCCAAAGGTTTAAAAATATTACAAATTGATGCCCTTCTTGTTAGCCATTAAAATATTATTGAAATATACCCATATGAGCTGTCGAATGGTGTTTCACTATAAATTTATACCCCTAAAGTTCATCTAATTTACTATACAACCACTCCTCTTTTATATTAACTATTTTTCTTCTTTTAAATGTGGGAGGGGAGTTTTGGTCTCTACAATAGCAACAATGTTTGTTAACATGGAAACATTGGGGCATTTATTTACTCGGTTTTAAAATAAAGATCACTTATTTGCAATATCGGTCAAACTATAGGGCCTTTTTTAGCAATTTAACACTTTGTTATTTGTAAGTATTAGGTGAAGAAATGTACATGTGCACCGGGATGTATTATTATGCACATACAGGTGTGCTCACGATCTAACACGGTTTGTCTTTTGTGTCTCACTGGATTATTACTACTACTACTCCCCCCCTCCCCCACCCCTTCTTTAACCTTATAAAACTCTCCTAATTACAAACTGTTAGTATAATTTTGAGTAATAATAACTACATTGCAAATCTCATACCATTTTTATGAGGAAATGAATTGTGTTATGTATGCTAATTGTTGGGCCATGATTTGTAGAGTAAATTACAGTGCATTGTATGTTTTGTACGAGTAGCAAAGAACATCCATATAAAAAAAATTAAAAGTAACACTCTATTCCGTATTTTGAACTTTTAGTTAAATAGTTATCATTTTTTAATATAATCGTCAACTTTTAGTATAATAATCATGTACAATATTATACAGACATGGAAGAAGTTATCATATTATAGTTTTTACACCCTTGCCACCTTTGGAAATTTTAAAATAGAAGATCAAGCAGTCACTTTATATAAACATTAGGGTTACTTTGTGGCAAACATGCCAATCCCAAAGGTAATTATTTGTTTATTTATTTAAAATTCCACTTCTTTTAATATGTTTACTTACACAATTTTCTTTTGCGCTTCTAATGAAATCAAAATATCACATTCTAAGTTCTATGATAGAGTTACTCTTCCCTGTCGAATGAAAGCATAATGTTTTCATTATATTTGTATATCATTATTTTCAGTTTAATTTTGCCATTATCAAACAAGTAATGTCGTTAAAAACATAATATGATAATAATAAAATGCATAAATAATTGTGGCACATCAATTGCCTTTTTTTAGCTTTCAAAATTACCCTTTTTGCAAAAAATCCTGCATAGAAAAATTGATCCAGCATGTTTAAAATGGACACCCAATTGGATCCCAATTGGATGTTACAGGATCCGATCCGCATACGACCCGTTATCATCCCGACTCCATCTCCAGTTATTATAACCCCTCAACCATCAAAGCTCCCAATCGCTCTCCTTCATCATTCTGACCTCAAAATGAAAACAAAACAAATAACCCCCCTTTCCTCTTCTTCTGCCCTTAAAAAATTCATCTATTTTTTCTAACAAAATCATCACTCAACTGCGGATCTTTGATCAATTGCGATCAAGGTGCGCGCTATTCTAATTGCTCAATCTTTTATTATCTGCATTTAATTTCATTTGTTGAGAATTTAGTCAATCAAAAATTTAAAAAGAGGATAAATATTTATGAGATTCATCGTTTTTAGCTGCCCTAGAAAGAATTTTTTACAAATTTTTTATTTTCGCTTATTGGGTCCTTTAGATGAATCTTGGAGTTTCTAATGGACATAAGTTAGGGAAATTTTGGGTTTTGGGGGTAATCTATCCATGTAAATTGTGTCAAAAAGGAAGGATGGGCTAGTCATCGATTAATTACGTATTTCACAATTGAGGTTCATTTATTTCTTGGATGAAGTCCAGAATTTGTTTTTCGTTAGTCCATAAGATCACCCCCCCCAAACTTATGAATGTATGGTTCATATTGGAGTTACTTCTGAATTTGACACCTACATCATTTAACTTTTTTTTTGTTGTCCATATTGGATGTTCTTTCTTATCTGTATGATTGTGTAGCTTCATCGTAATTAAAGGAAATAGCTGATAATTTATTTACTTGGGTTATATGCACATGTTCTTCATATATTTTCTTGGTCAGTTATTTGTAATAGTTTCTCATTTTTCCCCAGGTAGGCCACCTTGTTAGTCATTTTCCAAAAAGAGACGGCAAAATTATGAATGTTTGCCTTATGTTTGGCTAGATGTGGCCTTTGAAGTTATAATCTCTTAAATTTTCTTTTAGGCATGAAAAATTATTTTCTGCGTAGGATTGTGGAGCTAATTGCCCTTTGTACTGATTTGTGTTTATAATATTTACCTTAGAGGTTCTCCGAAGCTTCATAGATGGCGTTGCAAGAGAGCCTCAATAGGTTTAAGCAACAGCAAGAGAAGGTTCAGAACACGCTCACTAGCATTGCAACACGTGCTGCCCCAAAGACATCCAATAGTCACAAAAAGGCTTCGACGAGCACTCTTTCAGCCCCGGCGAAACCTGCTGCACCAGTAAAATTTTCTAGTGATACTCAAAGGCTTACGCACATCAATAACATTCGGAAGTCCCCTGTCGGTGCACAAATAAAGCTAGTCATCGATCTTCTTTATGAGGCATGGACTTTTCATTGTTTTTTTACTTCTACAATTTCATCTTTATCTTTAAGGTGCCATTAGTTTCTTTATGTATGTTGTATATGCTTTCGTATAGTGTCTACTCTATATTACATTTAAATTTTCCCATGTTTGGAAGAAGAATAATATTAGTAGTGTTAATTGAACAAAACTATCAAGGTTATCAGACTCAAGGTTCTCAATGGGGACACTGGCCAAAATTAATCTAGTGTTGTATGTAACTTAAACTATTAGTTTATCCTTGTATACACACACACACACACACATACATACATATATATACATATAATATATGTATATATATACTCCAAATAAGAATAGGGAGCTGCAGTTTGCAAGGATGTCATCTATGTCATAGTCTCATAGATAAAACATTTTAATCCTCTAGAAAGAAAAGAAATATATTGGCTAGTTCCATGAAAGAATCTTTTCCTCTCACAAAGTATAATTTGCAACTTCTTTATGCAGAACCAACCATAGATCTCTTCCCCTCTCACTTGGAAGTGTTAAGTACACCCATAAGTTGGGGGCTTTACATTACTTCTTCCAAGACGTGAGAGTTGGGCAAGGGCTAAATATACCATGGATCAATTGCCCTCTTATTGGAAGTGTTAACTATGTCATCAGTTTCCTGTTGTGGAAAAGATGATAAACATGTTATAGCAAGAGAGTAGAGTGTGTGTTATAGAAGGAGAGAAGAGAAATAGGTGGTAACTTAATAGTTCATAAGCTTCTGCGTTAAGGCTATGGTGAGAGAGCTTATGGGCTCCACGTACTTGTGTGATAGTGATCCTTGATGTCCGTGGCCTATCTTGGACCATATGGACCTCTTTCTTGAATAAAATGGGCTTGGCGTACTTGTTTGTCCTTTGTTAGGGTCTGTAATTTGTTAGCCATCTTGGGGTGAAAATACGAAGTGATAACTGACATCTCTTGTCATTAAGAGGCAGAGGCCTAACTTAAATAGGAAAATGGGACTGTTGCATTTCTCAGAGTCTTCACTAATTTTCTTTTTGTTACTTTTTACAGACAAGGGACGCCTTTACAGCAGAAGAGATAAACGAAAGGTGTTATGTTGACATAAATGGCAACAAGGGTGTGTTTGACAGTTTAAAGAATAACCATAAAGTAAGCTATGATGGGAGGCGTTTCTCTTACAAGGTAATCATCTTTCACATGCATACATACAGTCAACTATCGCGAAGAAGAATTAGTTTTTGAAACTGAATAACTGCTTGAATTGCTGATATGAGTATCTGTATAAATCATGTCCGTGTATAATGATGTAATTCATGTTTCAGTTATGGGTTTTTTAATATGTTGATAGTGCCTTTGGAAAGTTATTGATTATCCAAACCTATTGCATGTTCGCTCATAATCTGACTCTTTCAGTGTTCAGGTTTCTTTTTCCTTATAGTGATATTTTCTTCAAATTTCTTGTTAACATCTAAACGGATGAGATTCTTGACCCATTTTTGGTTGCAGAATTTAGAGAAGGAATAATAATTTTAAAATAGAATATGAAATTTGGTGACTAAAAGTTTTAAATAACCAATTCCAGATTTACTGTCTTGAGGTTTTCAGACATCTTAACACTTAGTTCTGCTTCTTCATGCACGTATGAGGTTGCGGACATAATATAATTAGAAAAAAAATGGTGATTCGTTCAAATGTACATCCAAACTCAAGCATTTATTATGGAACGTTTGTTTTTTCCCCTCCCCGTGATATTTTTCCCTTCTAGTGCCTAAATAGAAATGTTGCTGGTTATATATCTAGGTTATCTAGTCCAAATTAATTTGCTGGTAACACAATAACCAAGAAGTGTATTGATCGTAAATCATGTGATTACTATCTTATTGTCTGTTTACTTATATTCGCTGTTGTTTTGCTAGCCAACAAGAAATTACTATCTGAATGCAAGTTTTACTGCCTTTAAGCATCTATTATATTAATTATGTCTTTTGTGTCCTTGCAACCTCCAAGAAGTTTCTTATTGATTGTGATTCATGTTTATTACCTTGTGATAGTCGTTATTTTGATTTTCATTAAACTGCTACTGTCATCAGACATTTTTATGTGATTTGAGTAATCTCTTTATTTTTGAGTTGCCACGTAATTTTTATGGGTTGATTCCAAGTTAGAAGTTTGGTATATAGATATTCTAATTGTTCTTCTGATGATTGTTGCTGTTTTTCCCCTCTCTTTTCGTCTCCAATGCAGTCCAAACATGACTTGAAAGGAAAAGACAGTCTTCTTACTTTGATACGGAAATATCCGGAGGGCCTCCCTGTTGTTGATGTGAAGGATGCCTATCCCTCTGTTATGGAGGACTTACAGGTACTTCTTAGAATAGAATGAGATAAGATGCTCTTTAGTTGGTGGGTACATGGTGTGTCACAGTGTTGCCTGTTCGTAGTTTGTTATTTCTGGCTAAACATTTAGGGAGAATCCTAATTACCAATTTCTACCGTCAGTTTGAAATTGAACCTCCTGTTAATAGTTGTTATTTCTGGCTAAACATTTAGGAGAATCCTAAATACCAATTTCTGCAGTCAGTTGGAAATTGACACCTCCTGAGATATTTTTTGAGAAAATTGCTCTTTTTGAAACAAGGTAAGAACTGGCTGTAGGGTACCAAGAAGTTCATAAAACACATTTATGTGCCCTCTGTTGCAGAGTTTCTTTTTCAAGAAATTACTAGACGGACCTCCTAATCCTAAATGGGCTTTGAGTACAACTAAGAGTTGGGAAAGCACTACTTACGAATTGACAATGTCCATACGACCAATTCCTAACCCGGCACCAGTCATGTGTGGCTGGAGCCAAATTTCCACACAACGCATGAAGGGCAACCATTGAATTAGAAAGAGCCTTGCAGTAATAAACATTGACGGCTGGCTGCTGGTGGGCAGATCTCATGTTACTTGTGAATATAGGCAAAGTAATTATTTCTTTCTTTAAATAAGTAAAAAAGAAACAAGAAAAACGGCTAAACGTTCACTAATGTTGCACAGTTATTGGTGTGGGTACGGGTACGGAGCACGATAAATTTGTAAAAGGTTGGGTACAGGATGCAACTATATGTATGCATATTGAAATTAATAATTTATACGAGACCGGTTTTTGTTTTTTCCTTTACATTATATTAGGAAAAGTATTCTTGTAATATCTTTATGTTTCTTACAGTTAAGTAAATTATAAATTGCAAATCTGCTCGTTTTTCACATAAATACCTAAACACCCGTTTAAAATCATACTTTTGAACTGGATATGGGCTGAACTAAACCCAAGCCGTGTCTAACAAGTTGCAGGAGTTGGATGTGAAGTATAAGATATTTGCCCAAGAAGTATATGACAAGTTGTCAAGTGTTTTAAACTAAAACATGTATTATATAATTGAATAGATGTCACTAAAAGTGTGTGCATGTATTCAAGGATTGTCTCAGGAGTGCTGGAGATGGGCACAGGTAGGGGAAATATGAGACACGGTTAGGAGAGCCTAGATGAGGTGTCACGGTAACTGGCATGAACACTGACTCTACTATGAATAAGTTGTGGTCTGGGAGAATTAACTAAAATGGAAACATAAATAGCGGTCTTAAACAGAAATGATGTTGCGTGTATGATAATATCCTCATCAGCCATCAACTGTCAAGAATCAAATATAATGGTATAATTGGCATTATTTCTAATATAATGCTAATTCATGCTATAGTAAAGATGAGCATTCTATGAATGGGGCATGCAGTACTGTAGTCGGATGGATAGTGAGATGACGAGCAAAGGTGTCTTGATAGCGTCATTGTCCATAATTAAACTAGAAATTTCCCTTTGATGTATTGTTCATACATGATATTTCGCCTTGCCCTGTCATTGATCAAGATTATTCCAAAAGTTTGCTTATATTTATTGCATTATATACTGCTTTTTGGGAAATCTTCTTATGGCACGTTTTATATTCGGATTTTTAGATGAAATCCATTTTTATTTTTAGCCAAATTGATAAGTACCACCTTAAGTTTTATTTTTGACGAAAACCACCTTTACTGACCTACATGTTTCACATGTCACACCAAAACCGGATATCAACACAAAAAAATACTTGAAATGACCAATATACCCTCCCCCAAGCACGTACACAACACGTGTGCCTTATTTAATTATTAAAAGCAAAGATTTTTTATGTAGTCCCCCAAATCTTTCATACTTTCATATTAGTACACTAGATCATCATATTTTGAAATTAGTCCCCAACACCGATGTTGTCCTCGCCGGAGAGTGTAGTCCTTGCCGGAGAGGATTATGAGGAGGCTGAAATTAGGGTTTAGAGGGGGGTTTTCTTGGACTGGAGGGTGGGGGAGAGGGAGGATTGAGGAGAGGTGAAGTTAGGGCTTATGGGAGGATATAGGGGTTTTTTATTTCCTTAGAGTAGAGGAGGGAGGATTGGGAGGAGGTGAGATTAAGGTTTAGGGATTTGGAATTAGGGTTTGGGGATTGGGCTAGGGTTTGGAGATTTGGGTTAGCCGAGAGAGAGAGAGAGAGAGAGAGAGAGAGAGAGAGGGGGGGGGGGGGGGGGGGGGGGGGAGAGAGAGAGAGAGAGAGAGACTAATATCAAAATGTGAAAGATTTAAGGAATATTTAAAAAAACCCATATTTTAATAAAATTGGACACATGGTCAGCATGTGCCACTGGTGGGGGTAAAATGGGAACTTCACGTGTTTTTTGGGCTGAAATCGGGTTTTGGTCTGACATGTGAAACATGTAGATCAGTAAAGCTAGTTTCTGTAAAAAAATAAAAACTTAAGGTGGTAAGAGTTAATTTGGTTGGAAGTAAATGTGGTTTTCATCTAAAAACCCTTTATATTCAGTTATTTAGATTGTTATATAACTGTCATTGAAAAATCCTTTTATAGCATTATGGCTATAACTAATCCAAACCAAAGTGTAAGTTTTGTACTACTTTGGTACTATCTATGTTATCTGGGTACTTCTACTTTGAAGCCGTACTCAACACGTAGCTGTACCCCTACCCAAACTCCTTGGACACTCCTTGCATATATGCATACATTTATTCGGGCAAGTGCTCAATTACTTTAAAACGTTTGTCTTCATTTTTTACTTTAAAACGTTTGTCTTCATTTTTTACTTTAAACACCTGTGTTATATTTTTTTGGATATATATATCCTACACTTCATATCTTCTTCTTGAAACTCGTCGGACATAGGTCAAATTATGATTTTGAAGGGTTGTTTGGATGTCTAGTTTAAAAATTAGTGATTTTCCAATTTATAAACCACATAATAAAAGAAACATATTATAGCAAGTTTGATTATCATCCATGTTCTCATATAAATTATTAATTCCAATGTATAATTTATGGATGTATAAATATTTATATAGTTGTATCCTTGTACCTTACATTTTACAAATTTGCTGTGTTCCCTACCATTACCCATACCCATGCAACATAGGGTACTACAAACATCTGGATCTTTCCTTGTTAATTGTTATCATGTCCATGTGAATTACAGGTTCAATTTTGTCATTCGAATAGTTATAACTCTATAAGACTAGTACAGCACACTGTAGTTTAGTCATCGTTACTATATGGCTACATATAGTAGTTTGAATAAATCATAGTTTCAATAGTTCTGTTCGTTTGTCAGATCATCCACATGTAACAGCTGACTTATTCAATTTTCTTGTATTACGTATGTATGTACATTATGTACCCCTATCCCTGCTAAAATTTTCTGGCTCCTCATCCATATTAGGACTTGGGATGTTGGTAGCCCTTATCATATTCTATTATAGAATAAACTGCGGCCGGTGCTTCCCTCCATGGTCTTGGCTAATGTGTCAGTGACAATTATGACATACATCCAAAAACTACATCTCAAATTATCAATATATTCAGATCATAACTGACTGATTGGATGTCTGCCATGTCAGCAACACATCAGCCCCCATTTAAACGTCCTTCAAAACTTATAAGTTTCAACTGTGTCACATTTAAAATGATAACATGTTCGAGCAGACTCTGAAGACTGCAGGCAATGTATGGCTACTATCCAACATGGACTCACAAGAGGACATTGTATACCCAAACGACCCGAAAGCAGTGATCAAAGTGGACGATGATCTCAAACAACTATTTCGTAGTATCGAGCTACCGAGAGACATGGTCGATATCGAGAAGGATCTCCAGAAGAATGGCATGAAGCCTGCAACTAATACTGCAAAGAGAAGGGCCATGGCTCAAGTCCATGGATTGCCAGCGAAGCCCAAGAAGCAGAAGAAGCAGAAGGAGATCACTAAGAGGACCAAGCTCACCAATGCTCATCTCCCCGAGCTTTTCCAGAACTTGAATTCATGATTTACTAGTTTCGTGTGAAATGAGCCATTAACGATCAGATGTGTCAACTTGGTAACTATATCATTTATGCTTTTATATTTCTGCTCACAATTATTTCTTGTAGTGGTATAGCTAGAATAATTGTTTTCAAAAGATGAATCGATATACGTTACAAAGTATATTTTAATTTGGTGATCTTTCTGGAAAGTATTCTTATAGTTGCTACTTCTGTTCAAGAGTTGGACTGGATGCAAATACATTTTATTTTGGTGATCTTTCTGCAAAATAGTGTTATAGTTGCTATACTTCCGTTCAAGCGTTGGACTCGATGCAAGTACGTTCTGGTCGCTACTTCTGTTCAAGAGTTGGACTGCATTTTGAGTTTGCATTCGACATTGTGATTACTTTTGGATGATTACGAAGTTTAAATTTTTCATGTGTATAAGCCAAAAATTTTGAACTAACGCGTGCCTTGCGGGATTGAACGACCTCTACGTGGGTTATGAGTTAAAATCTTCCTATATCGCAAAATAGTTATGAGCTATGGATCAAGCAATGTCGTGAATCTAAAACTTCAGTTCGAGAATCCACCTTTAGGCTGAAAATCAAACCAAAAAGTTCAAATATCATACTACGTAGTCTGGAGTTCTAATTTAAAAATCAAAATCCTAATCCAAATCCCAAGACGTTGGATTCCTGGACAATTTACCCAGTCATACCAAACAATCCTGAAGGAAACAAACGGAACGAATAACACCCGCCATGACTATTACATACTTGTGAAGAAATCATGGAAAAAGCTCAATGGCTCGTGTGGAAAAGTATATCTCACGACCAGCGTTCGCTCAACAGTTAGCAAAGTAAAACTCATGGATCTGAATGCTAGTTCTCAAACCTCAATGTTTTGCACTGATGTCCTCGTATAGACATGAAACGTATAATTACTACTGAACTTGGAAGCTCTAGACAGTTTGTCAAATCACTGACAAAGAAAACCTCAACTATTTACATTGAAAGGAGGAGAATGCACGAACATCATCGTTATCTTTCTGCGATAATATATTTGGGAAAATCCAAAAGCCACGCAACCAAAAGAATAGGAGAAAATTACCAAAAAGAAGCAACAAGCATGGGCAAAATATTCCAACACAAATTGAAGAACTACAATTTGTGGGGCACAAAAAACATCTGAGATAAAAATTCAAGCGGCAAAAAGAACAGTGTAGTTTTAAGACAATCTCTCCTCCTTGCTAAATATCATGAAATGAAAAGAGTTAAAGGGCTTCCAACCGAAAAGCAAACTGATTTAAGAACCTCCCAACATATTCGCAATAATAACAGGTCTACAAAACATGTAGAAGACCGATTTGTAATTAGCTAACAATAGTCGAACTCATTCAGGCTTCACATAACCTTGGATAATGTTAAGTCCCTCAGACTCCTCCCCATAGTCCTGCAAATTAAGATGGGAAACAAATTTGATTAGCACACACAATAAGTGCGAAATAAAAGTAAAAATAAAAATTGGACACTGTTTGATCACTAAATTGTGACTATAACAGACAATTTATACAACCGCAATTGCTTTTCAATACAAAATGCTACCAACAGACTGCAAGTCATTTTCGCCAAAGGACTAAAAGTCCTAGTGAAATAAACCAATAAGATAATTTGCAAATTCCTTGTGCAAATAAGAAGTACAATTACAGTTGCAATTTTCTGTGTACCAAACCCCTCACAATTTACAAATGTTAACAAACAAGCACTTACCTTGACAACTACACAAGAGCATCCGACAACTTTCCTTGCCTTACCCTCAGAATCAATCTTGCAAAGCTGCAAGTGTAATGGAAAATAGTTGAATTAGTAGTTGAAACACAAAACAAAAAATACGATTCATGCCAAAACTAACTCTCAAGGTTCACATAACGAAACATCATCTATATTAGGTAGTTAGGTCCATGAAATGGAACATGGATAGAGGATACAACAGTAACTCCATGCAATTTTAACATCATCAATAAAAATTTGAGACTGAACATTAGTTCGACTAGAAAGCAACAGATCGATGCCATCAAATATGTACACCACCCCATTGTAGTAGATCTGAAGTCCATGCAAATAGCCCTAACCATTAAGTGTGCATATGGTTGAATCTTACAATCAATCTAGTCTAGAAGAAGACAGGAGCAAATAACTGAAGCAAGGGATGGCTTTACGCGAATTGTAATTTACATGGGGTAAATAAAATCTAATCTAGCTGGCGCTATCTTTATATAAAGACAATAAATTACTAGATATCTCTATAATATAAACAATAACGTTCTGAAGGAAATGATTCTAAGAAATGGAGTTTGCAATTGAAAGGTAGGAAGAGTTTCAAACAAACTTAAATTGTGCTAGAGAATATAAACTAGAAATGGAGTTTGCAATTGAAACAGTTTTCTAAGATCAAGAAAACATGACACTGCATAATAATATGTAAACTGTGCTAGAGAATATAAACTAGACAAGACAAGACACATGCAAGAAGAGAAATAAAAGATGAGCAAATCACTAACCCCAGCCCACTCTCCCAGAGTCTTAGCACTTGGAACTGTAACTAAGTGCACATTGTGGTCAGTGCAAAGTGCCTTCACCAACTTGACATAGTCTGGTTGGTCGCAATCTTCGGCAAGCACACAAAGCTGAGCAGCATGCTTCTCAATGGCCTTGGCACCTTCATGAAGACCACGGACAAGACCATCATGAGCCAATGACTTCTTCAACACAAGCTGCAGAGCAGTCATTACATCCATTGGCTCTCCAAGGATTGGAGCAGCGGTTTCAACAGCAACCTCTTCCCTGCCAAGATTCAAACATAATACGAATGGATTAATGTAGATCATGAGGTGAATGATTTCCATGTGAAGAAACAACCTTCTGATAACAGAAAATTCGTGATTGAATCTAATCAAATACATCTAACATTGAATAGCCTTTCCGAAAATGATTTCTCGATTTCACATTTCAGAAAACCGAGAATAATTTGACTAAAGAAACATAAATCACAAGAATGTTCAAGAGATTACACTTTTTGACAGTTCAAGAGATTACACTTTTTGGCTTATGGTTATTATATTGCTTCTGGTGTAAGCCAATGATCCAAAATACACCGGATCAGAGAATATTGCCTAATAAGCAAGAAACAAAAAACAACAGAACATCGGTGTTATTAAGTAAACCTAATATTGTATCCATTTTAACAAAAGGAGAGGTAAAAGACTTCAAGAAAAAAAACATAAAATCCACAAATGGTGACTCTATAACAATATCACTCCTAAAACTATTAATGCATAGCCTAACTTTCTCAAACAAACAGCACAGAAGATAAGTTTCTTCAATAACCACATAAGAAAGACTAGGAAATATTAACTTGAAGATGGCGATGTTCCTCCCAAGTCCCAATCTTTCAATTCTCATATAAGCATGATTAGTGTTGTCCGAATCTTATTGAAGAAAACACACCATAAACATTTCTACCTTATTAACTATGCATAAAGTTTTTAGCCAATAACATCGACTTAGAAGCCAAAAGATTTTGTCAAGCATAGATTGAATTCTTTCTACAAATTTGCAATCTATGTTAAAGTTTAAAGAGAAGCAACCCTGACATACCATACTAACGATATCCAAAGGTGATGTATAAGTCTGATTAGTGATGATGTAATTTCATCAAGGAAACCACACCGAAACAACTACCAACTTTTTAACTATGCATAAAATTTTGAAGCCAAGATTGTCTAGTTAGTAGTCAAAATCTTTGTACACCACAAGATAAAATTCACTTAACACTAATTCACAATCAAATTAAAGCCTTTCAGAGTATGAGAAACAGTCCCTCATTATCATTCATATTATAGACATTTTCAACGTATAAGTAGACTCAACCATGAATAAGTGCTGCACTAACAGAAAACTAAACTAAATATGATCAAAATGAGTTCATATTATAGACATGTTCAGCTACTGTACTTCACCCCCATTCAAAATCAAGCTCGCAGGAACTAAAAATTCAACCTTTACAATTCACCCACGCGAAAAATCAAAACTTTAAGAAGTTAAGACACAAAAACTACACACCCAAATCGAAATCCAAACCAAATCCATCACTGAACATAAAGATCAGATACAATATGCAATTCTGAGCTACATACAGAACAAAAATAGGACATGAGAATTTCGAATACTTACACCATTTTGAACTAGATTGATCTAGAGAAATGAAGGGGCGGCGGATTTCAGTGCTCCGCTTGCTTTTGGAGATTTAGGGTTTTCGATGCGCAGAAGAGAGCAGAATATATAACGTATCCTCCATTGTTCGATCTGCTTAAACTCGATCTTAGCCGTCCATTGAGAATAAAGATCATGAACGATCCGACCCGTTAACGGGAATGACGTCAGATGGATGATAATTGGGCTGCAAGGGCGTCACTGAGTAAAGTCCAGCCCATTTTAAAAGGGCCTCGGTGAGCTTGGCATCTCTGGCCGCTTTATGTAAATCAAATTTGATACCACGAAGTTTTTTAAAATAATAATCACATCATTATTGTATCATATCATATATACTCGGTTGTAAAAAGCACGAGTTAAAAAAATCATAATCAATAATATTCTTCACTATTTTGACTATTTTGTTTAAATATTAATCTATTTTAGTTATTATTATATCATATCCTAACCCCATGTAAACTATCTATAGCTTAATAATTTTAAAATATAATATTAAAAATATATGTATAACATCTTTACAATATCAGTTTGGTAAGTTTAAAAAATTATACGTAGCTAACGTACTATAATACATAAAGTACTGTAAAAAAAAAATCTAAAAGGCTTTAATTGCACAAAAGTCCATTAAAAATAATAAATAAATAAATATCAAAAAGTGATGGTTAATATAATAAGCTAATATGAGAATTTTAGAGCCATAAAGATGTGTTCGGACTTCTGACTTTGTATAAGAGATCTTGTGCTTGTGTTCGTGAGATGCTCTTTGTTCTTTGTACGACAGAGCTAGTTAAGTAAACTTGGAATGAGTAACAAAAAAATAATACATATGTTTTGACATTAAATTAATATTTATATTTATTATTGCATGAAAAAAATATTAAAAAGTGCTGTCTGTAGAACAATCGTAGTAGAGATGGGGATAAGGTAATCTTACTTTTATTTACGTCTACCAGATGAATAAAATAAAATAAAAAGATGGATTAAAACAGGGGAAAACCAATTGAAGACTCTCTATAATAAATTATGCAGTTAGATGGGGATGAAAACATGTGTCTAACATAGATATTGATGCACTCATAAATATCGACTATTAATTATAAATCAGATATTTTCGAGTTCAAACTCAGAAAGGTCCTTGTGGTTTGCGCTGTAAATCTATTAAGCCCCCAGACTATTATTTGGATCTATTAAGCCTCTATGCTTTTTATTTTGAATCTATTTAGCTCCTATGATGTTTCTTCATAACTAAAAAAGGGTATTTTTATCTTATTGAATCTACTTTTTAGTTATGGAGAAACACCATAGAGGCTAAATAGATTCAAAATAAAAAGTATAAGAGCTTAATAGATCCAAATAATAGTCTGGAGGCTTAATAAATTTATGGCGCAAACCATATGGACGTTTCTGAGTTTGAACTCGGTATTTTCTTCCCCCATCTTTGTGTATGATTTTCTATAGAGACCTGTCGTGACATTTTCTTCGTTATATTGTTGGTGATAATAATAATAATAAATATTGAAAACACTGAAAAATAGCAGGACCGTTAAAAACTAGCAATACGAAACAAAATATCGTATCGGAACGATGGAAAATTTGAGAACGTGTACTTGAAGTTTTCTTCTGGATCCGATATCAACCCGACAAGCTTTTTTGGGTCCACAATTTTAGACCCGATACCCGCAAATCATACGCCTCTCTCTCTCTCTCTCTCTCTCTCCTGCGTCTCTATCCGCTCGATTCGAAATTCTCTCGCGATCTTTTGCCATTTTTTCTTTCTCCTCCCAAGATTTGCCCTAATCGATACCATCAATTAATCGAAGGAACATTCGAATAATCCCCCTCACTGGTCTATTCCACTCTATGGTTAGTTCAACTAACACTTTTCAATTTTTTTCTCATTTCCCCAATTTTTTGGTACAAATTAAGTCGATTATGTAGCTCGTTGTACTTCAATTTTATGTTTTTTTGGTTGTATCGATAGATTATTGTTGAATTTATGTGGGGCGTTTAGTAGTACAGTTGATTCCTTGAGACATTTGTTTGTCTAATAAGTTAGGGTTTGGTACTGCTGATAGTGAAGTGTCTAATTTGCCTCGCATAATTGATCTTGTTTTTAGTGGGAAATTGATGATCTTGTTGCTTAGTTTAGCTACTATCTGCAAGTATTTACTTTTTTAGTTTCATTTTTGTGTCTAAAATTTCCCTTTCTGTCCCTTAATTGATCCCATTCATTGATTGAGAGAATAAAGATAATTCGTATCACTGACCTACTCCACTTTATGATGAGTTAAATAAATGCCTTTTCATTTCCCCCCAATTTATCCATTTTTCACAGATTTTGTTGATATTGTAGTTCCTTATACTTAATTTGTGTATGTGTTTGTTTGTCTGGATCTATTATGTAGAACTAGGACTTATTCCTTGATGCCGTTGTTTGTTGAATCAATTACGGTTTGGTTCGGCTGGTACCAGAGCTTCAAGTTTGTGTCCTTTTTAAGATTAATCTCGTTTTTAGTGGGAATTTGATGCTCTGTCTGTTTAATGAATTAGAGTTCTGGGCTTCCCATTTTCTCCCATTTTACCCGAAAGTTGGGTACAATTTTAGTTGATTTCATGGTGCCTTGTACTTAATTTGTGTATACATCTGCTTGTCTGAATACGCTAACGTTGGATTTATGCGGAGAGTTAGAATTATGATTGGTTCCTTGATGCAATTGTTTGTCTAATCAACTAGGGTTTCTTACGGCTGGTAGTATAGTGTCAAATTTGTCTCGGTTTTAGAATTGATCTTTTTTAATTGGAAACCGATTCTCTGACTGCTTAATTAAGCTTCTCTCTACAAGTTTTTTCCGAAACTTTTTAGTTTCATTTGGCATATTTCTGAAATTTGATGTTTTCTTTTATCTTTTGAAGTTTAATGTCCCTGATATTTTATTGCTCCATGAGATTATTTTATTGCTTTATGAAAATATTTTGACTTTTCTTATTCAAAATCACTTTGTTCTTTTTGTTCTGTTACATTTCTCATGGTTTTGATGGTTTTGTTTACTAAATTGTATTACCTTGTGTTGATTTTTTTTTTCCACGTGAACATTAGTTTGTTCAATTCAATTGCATGTGGTGATCCATGGGTGCATTGATTGAAGCAGAGGGAAATGAGGTAACAGGTGTTGAAAAGAATCGTGCTGATAAGATCTGTGCTTCCAATCCTGTGGTTTACCAGCTTGTTCGGGTAATTTTTGTCACTTCAATGGATAAAACTATAGATTTTGGTGCAATTTGATTTTAGCTGTCCTCCGTAACCTTAGCCTCATTAGTATGTACTCTGTCTGCTTCGTTTGTTTATATTAATGCATTGTCGATTATATGCAGTTGACTGTGAGATAATAGCTACTCAATGGAAAATCTGTGATGCAATAAACTCTATGTCAACAACATATTTGTCAATGGCGTAGTTTATCCTTACTCTAACTTGATTCACCTCCTTGCTGCTCTTTCACTGCTCCCTTGCCGGGAATGTGCTAATATCATGACTTTGTGGCAAACAGATACCACTTATTCACTAGTGTTCTTCTTCACTAGGTTCTCTGTGCCCAATCACATAACAAGTACTTGGTAGAATTTTTCTAGATAAAAAGTTGCCCAATAGTTACCTTGCCTACTCCTTGAGTTATTTCATTTTATGTCCAACAAACTTTGTCTGTCCCACTTGTGAACTTGGGGACTATTCCGTGTTTAAAGATGAAGATGAATCTCAGAAAAATATGATAATCACCAAAAAAGGTCTCCTTCGATCAAGTATGAAACTTATTTAGTTGATACGTCAAAAAGCAAAAGGTATACCATATACCGTATAAAATTGAGAGCGCTTTTCTTGTTATATGGAGTAAAACGCAACGGCAGATGTGTGGATAGAACGGTTTGGGTGACATAGATTTAGCAAACACATGTCATCCTTGAGTCTCCTGTTAGCATAAACATTTTTGAAAGAACTGAGAAAGAAAGGGCCCTTTTTATTGTTGTGGTTGTTATTATTATTATTGTCATTGTTTTTGAAACTGCATTTCTATGCGACCATATTGGATGTAATCTAGTGCTTGTGGGACCGGTGTTTTTAGTTTGAGCTTTGATGTTACAGAGGATATGAAATGTTGATAGTTTGTGACAGCAAACTTTCTTATTAGTTGGACAATCAGGCATTCAAGTTGTGTATGCAACTATCAGAAAGTGAACACTTGTTTCCAAAAACTTTGTTGAGGATTTTGTGCCCCAAAAGTCTTAACGCCCTGTCATGTGTTTTCCTTTTTATTTATTTTCATTGGAACACTAAATTATTTTAGTGTTATTGTTATGCTGGTCAATCTATTCAGGTTATTTTCTGTCTACTACTGTGAATATTGATTTCCAGTAGCTAGCATACATTTCTTAATTATTTCTTTCAAATGTAGGTTGGAGTGGATGGGAAGCTAGTTCCAGCAACAGATGATGAGCTTATGGAGGTTGAGCATTTGCTTAAAGATGATAGGAGACAACTTCAATCAGTTGTAGCTGAAAAGGGCACTGAACAATGCCCTTCCAGTGAACTGTTATTACCAAAGACTTCCAACTTAGAAGGTACAGAAGGTCACATCTTATATTAATTGACCTCGCTAACAAGTCAAAAGAAGAGGTTTACTCATATTAAAGATTTTGTTTCATATGAACATTTATTTGTGCACGTGATGAGCTTATGGAGGTTGAGCATTTGCTTAAAGATGATAGGACACAACTTTAATCAGTTGTAGCTGAAAAGGGCACTGAACAATGCCCTTCCAGTGAACTGTTATTACCAAAGACTTCCAACTTAGAAGGTACAGAAGGTCACATCTTATATTAATTGACCTCTCTAACAAGTCAAAACAAGAGGTTTACTCATTTTAAAGATTTTTTTTCATATGAACATTTATTTGTGCACGTGTATGTCTGGCATTGTACTTGAACTGCATAATTTATATTAGAAACTTTGGAAGGGCATCCAATACATTTTTTGGCAACTCACACCTGATTGATACAACATTCATTCATATGCTCTTTTGATCTTTTTGATTCTCCTATATTTGATGAAGGCATATTCACAAATCTGAAGTCTCATGTAAAATTATAAATCAATTAGGCTTCTTTTAGAATGAAGTGTTGTCAAGTGCATATGTATGTAATCAGTACATGCACATAATTAGGAACTTAGCATTTAATTAATTCGTGGGGGCGGCCTTATGTTGTTTGCACCTACTTGCTACATGACGGGTCACCAGTGCTTTTTGGCTTGTATTGTTGCCCAAGGTAATGCACTTCCATAGCAATTCTGTCATCTTCTTCTAGACATTATCCTGGCCTAAAATTTGAGGGATTCTTCTTGTTTACACAAGCTTGAGCTCCATAATCCAAGGTAGGTCTTCCCACATTCCGATTAACATACCAGATTTTTCTGGCCTTTCTTCTTCATGGTTTTCTCTTGCAGGAAACAACCTCAGAGTTTACTATCATGCTAAAATCTAATCATAATATTTTGTGAAACACTTTTGTGTGATTTCCTATTGTGAAACTGACCCATTTTGATGGGAATTGACATGGAGTGAGCTTTTGAGGCAATTCCACCATCATCATAATGCTTTAGAGTTAGTTTCCTTTTCTCCACCATTTCACCAAATTTAAGCCTATTAAATTTGGCTTATGTGGAGCTTCTATGGCAAATAACAATCTGTAGGAGGATTCCTGGATTATCCACAATCAGGGGCAACCACCAGCATGTAGTCGCTATCCGAGAGTCAATGTCAATCTCGTGACAGATGGTATCCCAAGAGAAAGAGATGCAGGTGACAGATGATATCCCAAGAGAAAGAGATGCAGGGGATGGTTTAAACATGTTGAACAGCAGTGAATCAAGCTTGTTTGAATTCAGCTCATTTGTAGGTTTAGCATTTTAGTGAACTAAAATCGAGCTAATTAAATACCTAGCTGAAGACAAACAGTTTCTTAATGACTGATGTTGTTGATGATCCTTGGATCTCCTATCGCCAATAATGCTCAAATAGGAGGATTAGTGGATTACCCACAGTCAGGGTCGACCAACAGCCTGTAGTCATTACCAAAGAGTCATTGTTGCGACAGATGATATCCCATTGGAAAGGGCTGCAGGTGGTGGTTAAAATGAGCTGAACGCTAGTGAATCAAGCTAATCAAATACCTTGCCGAAGTTAAACAATTTCTTAGTGATTGATGTTGTTGATGGCCCTTGGAGCTTAGCTCTTGATGTTGGTAGTTGGTACAAAGTGTTTCTAGCCAACACGATAAACAAGAAATATTTAGTAGTAAAAACCTATTTTCATACATTTCTATTCATCATGTAGGTAACTTACAGTGGTGATTTCAATCGATTAATTGCAACTTGTGTTCATGGTTTTATATGTCGGATGTCGGGTTCATGTCGGACGGCTAAAATTCATGTCAGATAGTGGATACTGGGGATATGTTAAGGGATATAAAAAAAATATCGGATTGTTATATCGAAAGGTGTGCATATGAATAAGATAAATATCATAAATAAAATCTAAGTATACTTAATAAATTCTATTGTCAAAAAATATAAAAAATTAAATAGCTTATGATGCTTAGGGTTGATGTTGAAGGAAAGAGGTGAGAAAGAGGAGTCCGATGTTGGCAGTTAAGGAGAGAGAAGATCACCCGATATTGATGTGTTAGAATAGTTTAGAGGAGACCGATGAGATGTTGAAAGGAGAGAGAGAAGAGGAGCGACGAAAATGACTTCGGTCTTTTTTTCCATTGCCCTTAACTGATGGGGTTTTGTCTTTGGAAGTAATATTAGAACAATCAGGAATTTAAACCCAAACCTGATTAGATAAATATAACAAAAAAATAAAAAAATCAGCCAATTTTTCAGACTGAAAAATCGACGGATATAGCCGACATGTCCCCTGATATATCTGCCCGACATATCTGATATGTCCCCTGATATATCTGCCCGACATATCCGATATGCCCCCTGATATATCCAACATGTCTCCCGATATATCCGACATGAACCCTGAAAACGCAATATGCATTGAAAAGCTCTATATCGTGTTGGTTGGCCCCTAATTTCGACATGCCGATTGACATGTTTGACATAGCGGCTGACATTTAGAACAATGCTTGTGTTACAAATACTTGGTAAATTAATAAATAAAAGCAATTGTTTCCAATATGACAATCTTCCTATATTAGCAAAGTACATGTTTATAAATATCCATATTTAGCTAGATGATATATATTTAATGTATCATATAACTCTAAGAAATCTGCCATGTTGGGTTTTATCTAGCTGTGCACGAGCAAGCAGTATCTAGATCGAGTTTGGCTCGTTACTAGTTAAACAAGCTGAACTGAGTTAAGTACTGAGCTGAAGACTGACTGTCGAGCAGGTCATTCATTTGACAATTCAAGCAGCAGGAACGATAAGGCTATGTCAGAGTTTTTGAGGGTAGTTATAGGCATATAATAAGGATTGTTTATAACTAAATGGGGCTACGAAGAAGAGCAAAGAGCAATTATTTAAATCTATAGGGAGAGAGAACGATTGCTTTGCTAATTTTCCTGTTTGGAGCAACTTAAACTGGACACTTAGCTTCGGTGCATATCTTTGCTCATTTAGTAACCAACCGTAGAATCTAAGTGACTGCAGTCACAGTGGCAGGAGGGAGGAAATATAATTTTAAAGCATTTTCACATCATATGTAGAGAGAACATAATGTAGCACAGGCAAATCTATAATGAGGCCATGCCCGTCTTGGACACATTGACAACTATGTCTATATCACAAACACTTCCTTGACACTCCTTAGGTGTGTGTACGCACTTACATATTTCAATTACATGATGCATGTTTAATTTAGAATAATTTAGAACATATGGCATACAGATTACACTACTTGGACATTTCTCAAATCATCCAATTTTTATGTTCATATTACATATTTATTTACTTTCATTTATACTTCTAAGAGAACAGTGAAAAAAATGGCATCAACATATTGACTTTTCTGAAATTCACTTTAGATATAGGTAGACTTTTGCTTGAAGCTGAAGAGTCGAAGTCATCTTTATTTTGCAGAGTCATAAAAAGTATGGCAGGTCAACGCTTGCATATGTAATGATTATATGTCATATTATTAGAAATAATTGTTTAGGCTTTGGATACATAAATATCTGTATGTATATAAACTCTCGCTTTACTATAACATATGTATCCTAATATCATGTTGTTGTGCTGCTGATATCGTACTTTTCCAAGAATTACCATGTTCCTTGTCTGTCTTGTACCCGTGTCCCATGTCTACATTATGTATTTAGTGATAATTGCTTCTAACATTCAATAAAATTACAAAATTCATACCCTTCGTCCTGTCATGTTATTAAATGTGATAAACCACTTATAAATGTGTTCTCAGATTGCTCTTAACAAAGTGACAAACCACTTGTAAAAATGTGGTCGTGAATGACAAGTCATTTCAGGGTTAGTGTTTTTATGAATAGGGGACACCATTCAGTCTATCACAAACTATTTCTTCTACATGAATTTAGTTTCTAAGCCTCACAAGAACCCGGTTATACAACTAGTAGTCACATTGTGATTTTTTCCTCTCATTTTTTGCTTCCTTACAAATAACCTGTGCCTACTTCATGATGGAGTTCTTGGAAGTTAGCCTAACTGACCTGGACCTTTTCACTATTGGTTTACTTTTATTGCAACTTTTATGCCTCCAGAAATAGTAATTACAACATCTTTTAACCTTTTCTCTTTTAACATTTTCGCTTGTCATTTTGTGTGTGGTTTTTAAACAAAATAACTTTAGTTGAGTTGTTTGTCACAGGACTTTCGTTGTGTGCGGGCGTCGAAGTTGATCCTGAGAAGTTAAATGACAGGCTCAAGGTGCGTTCAGGTTTTTTCTTTCTTTCTTTGTCTCCCTTGTCAATTTATTATCTTGTACTTGATCTTACATTTTCTTTGGTATTCTGGTACAATTCATCTGCATGGAAGTCTCCCAATTTTGAGTTAGGATAGAATGGTATGACACAATTTTCTTTCCCAGCCTTTCTGTTTTAAGCAGACAACTTCAAATTCAGAATGATTTGTCTTCATATCTTATTTGCATCTATCTCATTGTTGGAGCTGATCACTGTTTTTACCATTTGTTTGTAATTAAATCCAACCGTAGAAGGAGTGGCGATGATAAAATTTAATGGATGCAGTTATGGAAGAACTTAAGCCACTATAAAGCAAGTTACTGAAACTTTTGGGTATCGCTGGCCCCTGGTCACCAACCAGGGGTTCGCCCAGTCTCTATTGATCAAATGTTTCCAAGTAACATTCCTTTCTGTGTTTGATGACAGACAATGCCCAAATTTTGAAGTGCTGCCTGCCTAGAAGATCTAATAGCTGACATAAAGACACCTAACCAGCCTTAACATCCTGTATATGATGATCAAAAAGTACATATCTTTCTTGATTGGATGTCAGATGTTAATCTTTACAGAGTTAATAGAAAGTACTCTAGAAGTAGTTAAAGCTGGTTTTTGGTTTATGTGTACCTGTTATCTGCCTTAGCAATGTTTTGTATGCTATGGTACATCTTTCGACTTATATCTAGATATACCCTGTTTCTACACGTTTGTTTACTTAAAATGCTCTGGAGGCATATAAGGATATGAAAATAAGGAAAAAGAAAAGAATTGATGAAACATGTTCAAGTTGCTATAGTTCTTGACATGATATTTTGGTGCTGCTATAACATAGTTTTGGCATAGTTTTGGTTGTTTTTTACTTGGTTGAAATCTTAAAACTGCATTAACCCATCAGAAACGTCTGTTCTGGGGTTATAGTTACCACTGCATCTTCTTAGAGCTAGTGACAGATCAATCATCTGACTCGTCTTGTATTAGGAGGCAGCTATATGCAAATCTACTAAATCTTGCTGGTGCTCTATTTTATGTCAGTAGAGAGTTCCTTTCATTTCTACTGTTGAGTTTAATTTGATTGATTAGACACTTGTCATGTTTCATACTGTTTCATTTTATTCTTGTCTTGTATCTTGGTGTACTATTATATATGTTATTTTATTTGAATGTTATATTTTCTTTTTCATTAGACTACTGTTGTTTCTTTGTATCTTTTTATTTTAAATTTGATTGTATTGTTATACAGAGATAACACTGCAAAAATGTTCAACAGGACAAGGGACTGCAGCTTAAGTGTGAATCTGTCAGCCATTCTCCAAAGGATGTAACTGTTGGTGGCGAATCATCTGATGGTATTAGCCATTCAAAGTCGTGTGATGACAACTTCCGACCTGGGAAAACTTCAGCGGGAACTGATGCAAGTGTATCTTGTTTAAATGTCAAGGAGCCTGCTCAATTTGAGAGTTCAGAGACTGTCACTGAACCTGCAAGTGATGCTGTTGCAAGTATATCATCAATCTCCGAATCACACACTAGTTCAGACCCTGATTTTTCGATATTGAAAGGGGAGTTATGCTTGGATAATCTCACTATAAGGGAACTGCAGAAGGTTTTCAGGGCTACTTTTGGGCGTCAGACTTCTGTCAAGGACAAGCTGTGGCTTAAGCGTCGTATTACAATGGGATTAACAAATTCTTGCGAGGTCCCAACTACAAGCATAGTTATTAAAGATAACAAGGTAGTTCATGTAAAGGGGAAAGAAGAACCTTGCAGTACCCAACAAGTTACTTCTGAAACAGGCTCTCTTGCTCATAATCAAATGAGTAATCCAGTAAATGACAGAGTTGGGGATTCACCAAGCAAACCCATCGATCAGATGAAAGATGAGCAGGTATTATTGGGCAAGAGGCTCAGGAAACCTCCTCCTGAACATGACATGATGGATGAAAATATCCAAATTGAGCATTCTGCCAATAAGAGGATCAGAAAGCCCACTAAACGTTACATTGAGGAACTTTCAGATGTTGAAACCAGGGATAGTACTGGAAGATTAGTTTCTTCTGTAAAGGATTCTGAGCGTCATCAGCTATCTCTGAAACCTCAGGTCAAGCCACTTCATGATATTGGTTCCCGAGGCAAAACTTTTGTCACTAGAAAGGATTCTATTGGTGGTTGTGGCATCCAAATACCGTATGTCTCTAGGATGAGAAGAGGAAAACCTAGGAAAGATCTCTATGCTCTTACGGTATGTATAATACACTTGAGCACTGCATGTACATGTAAGTTAGGAATTATCAAACTATTTGCAGTACATAAAGTATGATTTTTCATTATCATGGCATTATACTCCCTTATTCTGATGAACAATATGGGTGTTACCATTGTTATCTGGGCGCGCGCACCGGGTGCGGGGCGTTGCGGGCTGGGGCAATTGCGCCCCACACCAGAGGTGGGGCACTGCACTCGCCTCGCGTGCGCCTCGCACGCGCTTGACACCATGTAATAGATTCTTTATTCTGTTTTTTTTAAATAATTTACATATTACATATTTACATCATGTAATGCAATAGACTTTTTATTGCTAGTTACTATTCCATTCTCCATCTTTTCATATTTAACCTATAAAAAGAAAACAATAATTAGTAATTTATTTTACTTGTTTGCTAATTGTAACTTCCTTCTTTAATTAGCATGCTAACTAGAAATTTATGAACATGTAAATATGTAATTGTTACCTCCATTTTCTATCTTTTCATGCTAACTAGCAAATAACAATTAAGAATGCTAACTAGAAAATTATGAACAATCATGTTTTTTTAATCACTTAATTGTTACTCAAAAATATATATATATATATCATATTTTAAATGAAAATACATGTTTCTTATTTGTTACTTGTTTGTTTTGTTTCATAGACTTTTGCTTATGTTGGAGATTATCTTGCATTGTGATTTGTGGAAACTTATGAACTTCTCTATGTTATGCATGCTAATTAAGACTCTTTCGTGATTTAGTCGGTGAAATTATATTTCTTGGTTTTTTTTATGTGACAATTTATAAACGTGTGCGCCTCAATTCAGTGAGGCGCGCGCATCGTTGTGTGCCTTGCGCATGGTGCGCGTAAGGGGCCTTTGCGCCCCGCATTGCGCCTTGCGCCTCGATAACAATGGGTGTTACTGATTAGAAATATTTCCTCTATAATTGTTGCATTTTATTGCTTCTCCATAACTGTTTAATGAATTTGTGCTCAGAAATTTGGTGGTATAGAGAGTGATAGAAGGGACACAGAAACATCATATAGCGAAGAAGAGCAAGATCCGGATAATGAAAAGATAAATCCTGCGAGTGTTACCTCTTCAGACAATGATGCTGATGCAGTGCATGCTGATAAAGGGAGAACACTGAAAGTTGGCGTCAAGAGGAAACATCACCGAGCTTGGACTCTTTCTGAGGTATTAAGGCTAGTTGAAGGAGTGGCTCGTTATGGAGCTGGAAGGTGGTCTGTAATCAGACAGGTAGCCTTTGCTTCATATTCTTATCGCACCTCCGTGGATCTGAAGGTAAATTGTCTGATATGAGTTATAACTGTCTGCTATTTTTATTTGAAAATTTAAGAAAAAAGGTTATTCATGCAGTATAAGCTGATCTCCCTTTTCCTCAGGATAAATGGCGGAATCTCATCAAAGCTAGCTTTGCACAGTATCCTTCAGATCAAGGGGCGAGTATTAGTTTTCTACGTTATGTATATGTTTGCTCTTTGTTTTACCTTTTGTGGATGTCTATTCTCCGCCTCAGTGGCGCTAGCGCTGCCTTTGAACTTCACTGACTGCTGCTTTATTTTACCCATTATTGACGTCCGTGATGTTGGGTTTTTTTTCCTTGTGATATGTATTATGTAAGAACAACTTGATTTCATATGTTGAGGTTTGGGCTTATCATTGAAGCATCATTGACCTTAATCTTTCAAGAATCATTGAGGATTAAGATCATGAAATGTGAAGAAGGGTGCTTTTGAACAAACACGGATTGCTATGACTATAACTACCAACAATGTTCAACTTGTTTTTGGAGTTGAAAGCATTATTCTTAACGTATCTATATTTGAGTTTACTACAAATACATGAGAAGGTAGCTTACTTGTGATGTTTACACCGGTCAAAAGAGTTTTCTTTTAAGCTTTTTGACTGATCTTAGAATTTCCTTTCCTTGAGAGATCTGAGATCTCCTTGTATATCATCATTTAACTCTTCTGTTGTTTCGTTCACAGGCCAAGAACTTCAGGAAACCGACTTCAGTGCCAATACCATCATCGATTCTGATGAGGGTGAGGGAATTGGCAGAATTGCACTCGCAGTCTGGAATTGAATTTGGGCCCGGTAAATTTGCAGGGCATGGTAGAGAAATTGTACAGGAGAAGGGATCCGGGTTCCTATGATCATCTGCGTATGTAAAAAAAGAGAAATTATGTACAGTGTGTGACTAGCTGTTTTAGTGAGCTGTTTCTTTTGCTTCGAATGCGGAACTGAATCTTCAGACTGTCTGTCTGTATTCCTGGAAAGAAGTAATAGAATACTTTTGTCTTGCACACCCTTATTTTCTTTGGCTGGTCTGGGAAAATGTTGCAAAATTATTCTTTCATTACTGAGTTGGCATATTAGAAGCTTTCAGGCTCATTCTTGAATTATAGCTTGGTTTATGAAGTAATCAAAAGGAAAAAAGAACTCATGGTCTGTTTTTGTTTTGACTTTGACAGAATTCAGTATTTCGTCGTTATTCTTTGGCAGGGGGAATTCGTTAGGAAATCCAGTTCCTGAATTCAAAGAAGAGGGTAATCCTAAAACCGAGATGCTATTCCATAAAATTATTTTAGCAAATTCGAAAAAACTTCTTGTTGCAAGAAAACATTATATGCACATTTATCCAATGCATTCAATACTTCTGCAAAGTTGCATAAAGCTACATTCCCTCATTTTCTGATATCTGAAACATGATTCAATTGTATTTTGATGAAACTACATAAACCCACCACGAATCAACCGTGACTTTCACTGAATCCATGTGTTGTACATAATGGGATATCTGAAAACTTAAGAAAACTTCTGCATACTCGCACAGTCATCTATGTTTGGCCTAATCTTCTGAACTCTGAAACAGAAACTCCGTTAAGAGAATGGCCAGCGTTTCGAGATCTCCTGTCGCGAGAGGGCAGGGCTCTTCTTGAGGCATGAAGGGTTGCCAGACCGGAGCTCGGAGAATCCCCTTGACGATGTCGGCCACCACGTCTGCGGCTTTTATAACGTCCGGAGATAGAGATTGGACGTTGGATACACCGACGGTGAGATTTTTCAGGGTTTGTTTTTGTGTCTTTGATTGGTTTTGGTAGCGTTTCATTGTGTGATCTCGAGCTTAAACTAGAATCTCTGGAGTTGCAGACAGAAAGTCTTCAGGGTTTACCTGCGTTTATGTATGAGTTTGAGACGTAAACAGGAATCAGATTCCGAGAGTTTTTGCCCACCACGAAGATTCAGGGATTTAGAATCCTACTTAGGCTTCCTGTGTAATTTTGTATTAATTTGGACTTAGGCCTTAAACTAGTTAGTTTTCGATTGGGCTTATTTGGGTAGGACTTCAGCGTTGGTCTTATTTCCGCATGGGGAAATTCCGACAAATTTGTTTGAACCTTTTTCCCATTTCATAGTTGGTAAATAATGTATATTTTCTTATAACTTTCCTTAATTGTTCCTCTCTTTTTTAAAGGAGAGTTTTATTTAAGGATTTTTTTTTTTTTTTTTTTGAGATGGCTTATGCTATTTCCTTCTTCAACAATCAATCAATCAGCAATAAAAAGAAAATTTTATTTTCCAAATCCTGGTATGATACGAGGGAAAAGGTTTTCAAAAGCTCCCCCTCCTTGACATTTTGTTTTCCAAATCCTGGTATGATACGAGGGAAAATGTTTGATGAATGCTAAAATCCAACCAAAAAGCTTCTTGTTTAGATGCACATGAGTTTGTTGAGGATAATATAGTAATAGTACTTTCTCTTTTTCTTTTCTAATGAGTAAATAAAAACCAAAGCGAAATCAACATTATTTTAGAGAATTACACGTCATGCGTCCATCCTAATCTACCATGATTAAGTATTTAATGAAAATTCAAGATTTTAATCTTGAGGGGCCTATTTGAGCAAAGTTACAAATTCCTGACCAAATGTAAGGAGACAAACATCATCTTAATTTGCAATATATTTGTGCAACTTGATAGTACGTACAAGCACACGTAAGTATGTACTCATACTGTCTTACACATCCAAAGCCAGTCATGTGATAGAATTTTAATATAAAACATAAATTTTCATGGACTAGCTAGATTTGATTTGTTTTTTTTTAAGCCTATATATATAATAAAAGAGATATTACAAAAGATATTTTTATGCTACACTTGATTTAAGTTTACATTTGTTTCTAAGAAAAAAAATGACTTAACGTTTATTTTTAAGGAAAAACAACCAACTTTCAACAGCGTCAACTTTGCGGGACATTTTCTTCACTTGAACTTTGGAGCCCCGTTCTGGTGCTAAATTTATTTTGATACTATAGATGACTCTGTAGCACTTACAAACAAAGCCACAACCTCGGGTCAAAAAACAATAAGAAATAACAAATGAAATTAAAAAAAAAAAGTAAAAGACAACATAGAAGATTTACTCCATTAACTGTAATTATCATCTCGACACGCACATGATAGTTCACCATAACAAAATTAAGATTTTGACAACCAGCACCTCTAAACATCCGTCAGCAAAACAAAACCAAAAGCTCATAAAAGAGTTTCTCTAGCACTTGACATGTAGTAGCAACACTCGACCCTCAAATATAGCTAATGTATGGGCAACATAACAAAATATTTGAACAGGCAAAATTTTAGCGCCGTTTGATGAAAACAGCTCAGAAGTTTTATGGATTAGAAATTCCCTGATTTCGTCACTTTACAGAAACCAACTCGACATCAAAAGTGAGCCATGAATTTGGAGGTATGGGTCCCGTCTTTTTCTGCCCGTAACTACAGTAAGATCGAAAGAAGCAAGATTAATAAGATGAGCTTTGCTACAGGGACCCAAAATATGGGACCAATAGGAGGGGCAAGTGAGGTGTCCCCCTCCTATTAGATAATGAGTTGGCCATCATTAGTGATGGCCAACTCATTATCCAATAGGAGGGGGTCACCTCACTTATCCCTCCTATTGGTCCCATATTTTGGGTCCTTGAAGAATTTTTCTAATAAGATTTGAGAAGAAAGGCGATAATAAACCATTTCAACCTTAAGAAACCATGATAATATTTACTTACCCATAAGATGGAGGAATTGTGAGCCTTCGCTTGTCACCAACTCTCATTCCGATTACACCAACATCCCACCCTTTGATGACTTGCCCAATTCCTACATGAGATGTTGAAAAACAACTTCATTTAAGTTGATGCTCCTAGAAGAATAAATATTGATAACAAGGTAAACTGTAAATGAAGAGTTTACCAAGTCGGAAAGAAAATGGTCTTTTTCCAACAGTAGAGTCAAATATTGTCCCGTTCTTTAGCTTTCCAATATAGTTTACAGAAACCTATATATTAAAATGAGAAGGTTGGTCTAATTAACAAGTAGTTTAACAGCAATGGAATAAAGAGTAAATTTCAGAAATCTACCATGATTATTTATTTATTCATTTTTAAACCTTTTTTAAGGGTTTACAATAACTTGGGGTATTACAGAAAATAACAATGAGCTTTCAAAACTGCAGAAACCTGCCATAAGCTATAGAAAATCGTTGTTAATTGCCTTAACGTCTTAAAGGTCTAAAGTACATTTATTTATATCTATCAACCCACAAAGTTCAAAAGGGTAATACAAAAGATCAATAAAGTACTTAATGGGCAAAACTGTGCGAAACAAGTCAAAGTTTACGCTAAATCAGACATTATGGTTTAGGCAAAAGTTCAATAGTTCTCTAATAAAGAAATGTTCATGATGTTTTTGAGCAAAACATTTCAACATCCATGGTAGGTTTGTGAAATGTACCCAAATTTAAAATCAAATAAAGATGTATTAAGAAGGGGGGAAAAGAACTACCTTCTTTCCTTTAGTGGCTCTTTGTCCATCAGGTTTACCCATAGCCAGCTCCTCTATGACCAAACCATTAGGATAAGTCCTTGTTTTACGATCAGATTTTGACACCTCAGCTTTCCCCTCTTCTCCTGATTCCTGGGTTGGGACTATATCATTATCATTGATCTTGCTCTCTTTCTTCTTTTTCTTAGAACTGGCTTGATTAACATCATTAGTTACGCCACCCTCCGCATCAGAACCCCTAAATAAAAAGTGATGAGGAAGCAGAAATAGTTTAAAATTACATCATATTATATTTTATATTAAGTTAATAACCGAACTGATATGCATGAGAGTTTACCTGTCCTCTTTAACTCTTTTCTTCTTATTTTTCTTTTTTTGTTTCTCCCTAGTTTCTTGAGCAGCAGAAGAATCACTAGAACACAATAAATCAATTAGGAAAAAAGAAGAAGAAAATAAAAGAAATAGAACAATTGAAGCTTAAAATTTTGAAGCTTAAAAAATAGTGAAGTTTGGGAAAGGATTATCACCTTTGATTAGGCAACTTCTCTACTTCATCATTAACAGGAGGATCATTGTTAGCAGCTTCATTTGTGTCTTCTGCAGACTGAAGTCCTTCGGTAGTCCTTCTCTTCTTTGTCTTCTTCTTCTTCTGCTTAGCATTTCCATCATCAACAGGCTCATCAGCTTCATCTTTTTTAGGCTCAACATTTGCTTCTCCAGTTCCCAATCCGTTCACCTTGTCAGCGTCTACTTGATTATCATTTTTGTACTTGTCAGTTTCAACATTTGCATTTTCTTCGGAAAGCACTTCAGAGGTAGTTCCCAAAGGTTTTTCATCCTTAGCCTTCTTCTTCTTCTTCTTCTTTGATTTCTCATTATTTTCTTGCACAACCTCAGACGGTGGCAGGGTATCAGAAGGCTGGCTAGTCTCCCTGCTTCGCAAATTAACGAAATTTTAGAGAAAAGAATTATAGAAAAAGTCAACATATTAAAGTAGTCTACTCCAACAAATATGACATACCTTGTAGATTTGCCATCTTGAGAGATGTCCATTTCCTCAACAACGACCTTATCATCAGATTTAGAGTTTGAATTCTCCATGGAGTCCTTAGCCACATTTTTCTTTTTGGAGAAAGAAATTGGGAAGCCATCTTCATCTTCGCTTTCTAATACAGCCGAGCCTTTACGCTTAACCACAAGCTGCCGTTTCGCATCTTCATCATCATCAGAATCGCTCAATTGATGCTTCTTCTTCAATCGACGACGATTGGCATTCTCATGAGATGGCTTGTCGTCCTCTATTATCTCCTCAATTACAACTGAAGGCAAAAGAACATTAAGGAGTACAATCATAAAATTCAAAGAAACAACTAAGAACTTATTGCTCCTGCAACAGAGTACAATGCATTTTCAACAAATACTATCAAGACCGAATATAATTCAAAGAAACCCATCATAATATTAATTTGGAGTCATGAGATTGTGAATAGATAGCTTACATGTGATTAACTCAAAAAGAATGGCACCAAGTTCCAACTTTAATGAGATAATTATAGAGTTCGGATCCAAATTGTCCAGTATCTGACAATACAATTTTCAAAAGAACAACTGAAATATCTAGAGGAATTGCAGGCGGGTATTGAGTATAAGAAGTGAGTTGGGATCCTTGGTGAACATAATAGAGGGGTAAAAGGGTCACATTGCCTCTAATTGTTAGATTTAATAGAATATTCCTTTCAAATCTAACATGATTTAACTTGAAGAGTCATTTTGCAAGATTCTATAGGATTTGAGGGACTAATATGCAATTTTAAAAATTGAAGGGACTATTATCTAAAAAAACCCTGTAATCTATCTAAAGACAATTACGAGGGCTTTCCAATATAAGATTGAGTTTGAACTCTTCCACAGTGTAACTTTCACCGAGAGTTGCTGGATGATAAAATATTTTTTCTAAAAAATATTATATGTTTTAAACTGAGATATCGGAGATGTAACTGCTCCTGATCTCAACAACATTTGAGGATCAAGACAAGTACAAGGATAATTGTGTGATATTTTTTTCAACAATTAAATCCAAACAATGAGATTGCATATTAGTCCTTGTACTTGTATCTCATTGTTGGATTTAATTGTTGAAAAAAAATATCACACAATTATCTTTGTACTTGTCTTGATTCTCAAATGTTGTTGAGATCGAGAGCAGTTACATCTCTGATATTTCAGTTTAAAACATAAAATATTTTTTGGAAAAAAATATTTTATCATCCAGCAACTCTCGGTGAAAGTTACACTGTGGAAGAGTTCAAACTCAATCTTATATTGGAAAGCCCTCGTAATTGTCTTTAGATAGATTACAGGGTTTTTTAGATAATAGTCCCTTAAATTTTGAAAATTGCATATTAGTCTCTCAAATCCTATAGAATCTTGCAAAATGACTCTTCAAGTTAAATCATGTTAGATTTGAAAGGAATATTCTACTAAATCTAACAATTAGAGGCAGTGTGACCCTTTTACCCCTCTATTATGTTCATCAAGTTCCACAAGTTATTGTCAACAAACCTATCATGCATTGTCACGCAGATAGGCAGCTACTTCTCAGACACTGCTCTAATTCCCAATGGCCGGAAATTTATAGAATGGCACCAAGTTCCAACTTTATGAGATATTTTCTCAAAAGAACCACCGAAACATTAACTCTAACCCTTAGAATCCAAATCGTCCAGTATCTGAATAGCCACTCCGAATTCTTACAGCACTATCAACACTCTTGCTACAGCAAACAAGCTTGATGTTATTTTCCTTTTCCCCCACTAATTCACATCACAAAAATGCCTCACAAACAACAGGCTACTTTTGCATAAAACAGAATTAACTCAGCTCCATGAATTGACTGGCCACGAGTCCTTCCTTTATTTTCGAACATTATCGGCCATCACAAACATTGGGCAAGATCTCCACCAGTCAATAACTTCAAATAACAAGAGTTTGGATTTTAGCTTCTCAAACATGTGGCAAGCCTCTCCGTTGCCAATGTTTCGTAGGACAGGAATGTGATATGTACTATCTACATAGAGTTTGATTAAAATTTACAAAGCGCACTGGTTGAATTTTGGCTTATCTTCCTCTAAGACTTGTGCTTCTTAGCTGACCCTGTCTTGAGCTAAAGAGGCTCACATAAAATTATGACAAGCTTTAATATTTAATGCACAGGCTACAATTTTCTCTAGAATCATGAACCCTTGAAAGTTTCTTTAATTTATCAGGAGCAGGTGTTCTCACTATGATATGATTGAATTAGTTTAAATTGAATAAGGAATTCCTGATATACAAAGATCTGCAACACACAAGTACTTTGATGCCATATAACATCATTACTTAATTGAATTCTCCTATGTGGCTCTATTTGATACTAAGATTTCATCGTAGATAAGTAGGTGTAAAATGATCATATTTTCCATGAACTCAACCCTGAGACAAACATGACAAAAACAGTATTACAGAAGGAAAAACAACTAATAATTGATCATAAAAGCTATAAAACAAAAAAAAATAAAAACATATTAAGCTCAAAAGAACATTTATTTGACAATTAATTTGTCTTTAAATCTTCTTTAAACCTTCGTAAAGAACCATTGGCCTCAGAAATTTCAAATAAGAAACTGTGAGCAACTGAAATATTCATTTCTCGTTATAGAAGATAAAGAATAGAGCAAATGACACATTGCAGCAAATAATTTCCATCAATAACATAACTTGATTTATATGATTATGAAAAACAATTGGACATGTTGGTGCACTTTATGAACCTCTGCAGATATAGAATATGATTTTATCATGCGTAGAAATATCTAGAGGAATTGCAGGCTTATCATATGTGCTTATAAGATACATAATTCTTCCACATGCCTAAATTCCTAACACTCCAATTATAAGGGACACGCTGAGTTTATCCCAGATCCAAAATTCAACTGAACATAGAAGTAGCCTGCTTAATCAAACTACACACTGTACATCTTAATAACCAACTGATGTCCCTCCAGATTTTGTTAAAATCTAGGTTTTCCATAAACCAATTTAGATTTTTCATATTTCATACAAAACTTCTGTTTTATAGTCACAATTACATGATACGACTATCAACAGAGCATTAACTAGTGAGATGACCAGAGGTGTCCATAGCATACCCTTAGGGGGTGTTTGGCAACTTCAAAATTAAACTAGGCTAGACTAGTTTTTTTCTAAACTGGACCATAATTGATCCTTAGGACTCATTTAAAGCCTAGCATTTGAAGTAGAAAAAACTAGTTCAACTTTTGAGCCCAACTTTTGCTAAACTAAAAATAAGATTTTGGACCAAGATTGTACCAACTAAAACAAGTTCCATGGAGTTGCCAAACAGACCCTTAGTGTCTACGCACGTGTGAGCAATATCTGTCTTTTATGCATGTATCACCAAGCTATCTCAATACCAAAGGGGAACAGAAATTACCACCACTCTTGCGATGAGCTGAAGATGGGAACGTTCCAATGTCGTCATCGTCATCAATAAAATCGGACTCATACTCATCATCATCAGAGCTTCCATAACCATCTTGACTATCACTATTAGCTATATCTTCACCATACGACTCACTAGAATCACTTAAGCCGAGTCAGGGAAAATCTCTTAAAGCATAGAAAAGAATATTGATATAAATTAGACATTAGGTCAGCAAACACCAAAGGATACTCGTCAAATTTACCACCAGAACTACCAACATAGTAACCAGAGAGATGGACACTTCTCTTCCCAAGGACAGAAAAGACAACATCTTCTGCCTCTTCGAACTCGAGTTCCAAATGAACCGTCTCCAGTAAATTGGGAATCAGATTACAAAGCAAAATGGGGCTTTTGTTGCCGACGTTGCATTGTACAATACTCTTGTTAGTGGCATTACCAATTCCCAAAGTAGCCTGCATGAATTTCCAAACAAACACAGAGACCGTGGTCATCCAAATAGAAATAAACGCCAATAAGCATTAAAAATAGGTACTTAGCACTATACTATACCTCAAAAAATACACCTACTTTAACTTATATGCCAAGTTCCAAATTAATTTTATTTTGAAGTGTTAATTTTTTGTTAAAATGACAGTAGTGCCTTGGTTAAATAAGCAACCCCATCGTGGGCTTTCCCAAAAAAATTTAAGGGGTAGAGAAGTTCTATATCATATGACAATCACTTCAGAAATCTTTTCAGGAATATTCATAATATTTTAAGAACTTTAGTTATAAACTCATAAAAGATCAAGAAGAAATGCAACTGAGGGTATATAAGTAAAAATTAATTGAAACTCCGAGGTAGCGAAGTGCCAATTAATCTTCAAAAAATAATTATGAACATTAAGGTTAAACAGATATACCAATAACGATTAATTAGAAAATTTTCATTTTTTTAATAGCTCACTGTATATTCTATTAAATCAAATAGAATTAAAAGATGAAAACCCTAAAACTGAAAACTATACTCTAGAATTCAACTGGGATAAGAAATTCCGGGGAGAAATCGAACCTGAGAGATGCGAAGTCGTCCACTAATATACCCGGGTTTATGAGTGTAAGGATTCCCTGGCTTGATTTCAACTCCTGAAATAGAACGAAAATAGAAACTTTAGTCCGATAAACCCTTAAAAATGTAATCATAGATCAGAAATTTTTGAGAAATAATTACCCCAAAACGCCATCTTTGGTGAGAGATCGATGGAGAGTATGGGATATTTGAAGATTGAAGATGAGAATTTTGAAGAGAGTCTAAAACCCCAGGTGACGGGTTTTTTTTGGCTAAAACCCTAATTTTAGCAGGCGGTAAATATATCAAGGATTTGATATTGGGAAATTACGGAACTAGCCTTGCCTTATATAGGGAAAACTTAAAAAAGTTTGAAGCTCCCCTTCGCTACCTATTTATAGCTGGGTAATTTTGTATTAGTCCCTCAAATGTCAGTAATTGGTTAGTAGTCCCTTAAATCCTAAAGAATGTTGTAAATTTGGTCCCTCAATGACCAAAAGACTCTTTACTTACGATTTCACTCTTAAAACTCATCATCTTCTTCTTCTTGTTAAATAAAAGAGTGGCGGGTTGTTGTTTTGGTGCGCGTGTGTGTGAGGGTGGGGGTGGGGTGGGGGTGGGGGTGGGAGTGGCGCGGGGGCAGTGGCGCGAGCCAGACGAGGCTTGCCATGCGGCAACTGACTAGGATAAGAAATTGTGTTTTTACAAGTAGGAATGGTCTCGTAGGCAGGTCCAAGATGGTGGCGGTGTGGTCCTGGACAGAGTAGCGGTCGAGAACAAGACTTAGGGCTAAGAAAGGAGAGAGTGAGAGAGTCTTGGGAAGGAGACAGGGAGAGATAGTCAACTGAAAGAAATTGAACTTATAACTTGACATCACTTTATTTTTCGAGGAGGGGGGGGGGGGGGGTCAGATCCAACATCCACACCCTCGAGAAAAAGGTAGAATGATGGAAGGCGCTTACCCCCCCCCCCCCCACCCCCAAATAACTCCACAGTTTATCTGCCACATTTTCCCCCCTTCTGCCTTATCACCTCCTCCTCCTTTCATTTTCTTTTCTTCCCTTGCCCTAAAATTAATATGCGACCGGTGCCGGTGACGATGATGAGTTCCCATAAGCACTATGGATCTTTCATTATTACAATCAAATCAGAGCTCAGTTGCTAACAGTGATCTTCATTTCTTTAAAAAGATATTGACGACCAATAGAGTTAACCAAATAGGTTTGTTTATTTTACTTAAGTTTTCTAAATAGTTGACTTCATTATTATAATAATGAAGTTCTTAGTTTCTTGATTTTTGTTTGAAATAACCTTATATAAATTGTTATGACATTGATTAACCTAAGTGTTAATCTTCCGCTCGAAGCCAACATGTGTCCCATGTCAGCATAGTCGCGGTCATAACCAGCTCACACCCTCTAGGGACGACTCGGGTCACTTGGGCACTCGACCCTTCTCAGGCCAAGCCGAATCGAGACCAGGTCTCACTCGACCTCAGCAATCGAGTCGACCACCCTCATTCACTCAGAGCTAAGTCGACAACTTTCAAGGCCGACTAAAAAAGTGTTACTTGCCGTTCCACTTGCGTAGCCGGATCAAAAGGTGGTTCGTCCTCGAACTCCATACCAACAATTGTCTATTCTCATCATTGCAAGTACCACAAGTCTACATGACTCATCACCCCTCGATACATCCTCAATCACCATCACATCTAATCAAGGGGTGACTAATCGCATATGCAGTAGACACCTGTAAAGCTGTTTGTCGATCTAACTATCTGTCTAGACTCAGTCAGAGTTACGCTCCTACCCTCTCAACCGGGTATATACATATGTTGGTCGCCCACTAGTAGAGGGGGATCCTCAGGCCTCCTTAGGGGCCACAGGTATATAAATATTGACCAATTAATCTCATATTCTGAACCTATTCGATTCACTGGTTCCCCACTCAAGCTCTATACTGACTTGATCGTCGGAGGAATCACCGGAGAACCCAACTCCAGCCCTCTAATGTGTATATTTTGCAGCTTGCTCATCTTAGCCAGCTGATCAATCGCCTGAGGGGATCGTACATATCGACCATAAAGCCCCATCGCTGATTCGGAATTATCTGCTAATCTCGTTGCTGAGTCTCAGGACATCATCATATATAAACCATTAAAAATATATTTTGAGCAATAAAATTCTTAACACATTCTGTTTTCTTATTATAGCTTTGTTTCATTTTCCTTAGTAGCATTGTCATCCAAACTAGATAAAGATCTAAACTTCATCCCGGTCAGTGGCGTAGCCAGGATTATTTTTTGCCCTTGGCGAAAAATAAAGGTGGTTTCAAACTATAAATTCAATTTTCTTTCAGTTGACTATCTCTCCCTTTCTCCTTCCCTAGACTCTCTCACTCTCTCCGTTCTTAGCCCTAGGTCTCGTTCTCGTTCGCTACTCTGCCCACAACCACCACTGCCACCACCTTGGGACCTGCTTACGAGACCACTCCTATCTTGTAAAAGCACAATTTCTTACCCTGGGCAGTTGCCCAGGGCAAGCCTCACCTGGCTCCGCCACTGATCCCGGTCCTTCCGGGCCTCAAAATCACCGAAAATTCACCAACATCCTCCAGAAAAATAGGCTTGGAGCTCCCCAACACTGCAGCCATCATCCTCAACTCCTTCCGGAGGCATTAACCCTGAGCTTGAATCTGACTTCGTCACCAAATTCAAAAAATTCGAGATGATGAAAGGAGAAGGATGTGATGGGAGCAGAAAGGGAAGAAAAGCTGGCAAACGAGCTGTAAACTTGTCGTAGTGGGGGCAAATAAACATCTTTTTAGTTTTGGAGGGCTTTTGAGCATTTGACTTTGTCTCAAGGATGTGGACGCTCAAAGTTCCAGATCCAAGTGGTTACAAGAAATTTCCCAATAGAAGAGGTTATTTCCACTTTGGTATTCTAAAGTTTACACCTTTTAAATTTTATTACCCCAATTTTTTTTGACACTTTGATACCCTAAAAATTATACATTTTTTTAACTTTTGATGCCCTAAAGTTTTTCTCACTCTTTTCTTATGATAAATTTCATACCTACTTCACTTTGATATCCCAAAGTTTTGTTTTTGCTACTTTGATACCCTAAACTTTAGGGTACCAAAGTCACAAATGTGAATACTTTGAGGTATCATAATTAAAAAAGGTGGAATCTATAAGGTATGAAAGTTAAAAACTGTGTGAACTTTGGGGTATCAAATTGTCAAAGAAAGTTTAGGTATCAAAGTAAAAAAAAGATGCAAAATTCTGGGGTATCAAAGTACCAAAAAAAAAAGGTTTGGAGTGTCAACATTTAAAAATGTGTAAACTTTGTAGTGCCAAATTACAAATAACCCTTCAAAAAACATTTTCTAAGGGTATTTTGGTCACTTAGGGACCAAATTGCAATGACATTACGATTTGAGGGACTAGTGAGCAATTATTGAGATTTGAGGGATTAATATGGAATTATTGAAGATTTGAGGATTAATATCTAAATTACAACCTTATAGTTTTTTCCTCCTTTCAATCCACCTATTTATATTGTAGGATTTTTATAGTTGCACAACCAAGTTTATGATCTTTGTATAGGGGAAAAAAATCAATATTTATCTTTTATAATTCACTCTATTCAGAATAATAAATGCTTTATAACTTCACTTTTGTTTAAAATTGATTTTGGCATATTGTTTAAAAAGGAATTTTATATTTGAATAGATTTTGTTTAAAGATGATGTTATTTTTGAAATTTCTAAAAATTTCTTAAGACAAAGCCAACTGTCATTTTATTTTTTAAAATTACCTTACTTTAGTTGTGATTTTGCAATAGATCCCTATAAGTGTTATGCCTGTACTCGCATAGATTAGTTTGGTTTCTTTAGTTTGTCTTTCTTTCTTGTTTTCATGAATTTATTTTTTGGTTGTGGTCTTGTTTCTAGAAATTGACTTGTCCTAAAAAATCTTCTTTGAACTATTGTTCTTTCTTTAAAAATAGATTACTTGAGCCGTAATTTTTTTTTTCTTATCCCTCTTTTATATATAATGAAAAATCGGTGGTTTATCTGAAATCACCACGCGGCATTTAGAGAAAAACCCAAAGTCACCATGTAGAAATTAATTAAAATTTATAAATAATTACTTTGCTTTCCAATTAGTTAAAAATCCTAATTGGTTTTAAGGCAATATACCTCATTTTTTAAATTTTAGGGTTTTTTCTTTTCAAGAAAATTTTACTTATTTACAAATTTCATGTAGGATGGCCCGGTGAAAAAAGTTCAAAATTTAAGGGATTCGGTGAGAACCCCAAAGTTCAAGGGGTTATATGGAATAAATAAAGTTCATGGGTTATGTGGCATTACCCCCTTATTTTTATATATAAAAGAGAAGAAAATTAAAAAAGTGATCATTAGTCTTTTAATTATTAATAATTTAAAGAATTTAAAATATAATTATTAGATTGTTTAGTTATGGATGGTTGAGATTTTATTAGTAGCTAGGTTATACCTGTGTGGCACGATTTGATTTGGTTTATTTAAAAATTAAATTATACCAAAACAATTTCTTTTAGCTACTGCTCCTTCAAATGTAGATAACTTGAGTCAAAGTTGTTTCTTATAAGGGGTGTTTAGTTAGTTCACCCAAAAAAAGTTTGAAACATATTTCACTACTTAAAACCCATTTCAGAGGTTTTAGTGTTAAAATGGATTTCATGAAAAACTAACGTGACATAGCTATTCAAGACTTCTTTTTCATAAACTAGTTGGATTGCACGTGCAATGAACGTGGTTATTTTTTTATTTTTTATTTTAAATTTTTAATTTTATTTATAATTTTTTGTTAAAAAGTTATGTAATTTAAGTAATTGATAAAAATATAGACATAATCTAAACATTATTGTATTTAACTGATTGTACTTCTGAGTTGATGTCGGACCATTCAATGGTTTTGGAGAACAATCTCCTGATTGCACTGATGCATGCATTTCTAGTATGGTCTTGTCCAATAAATTTATAGAAGCTACATTTGTTTATATTTTCTTCTTGTTTTTTTAAAGCTCAATGGCTTACATCATAGAAACTTTCACAAACATAGTAGGAAGTCTACAAAATTTTAAAAAAATTGCTTGTTAGAGGGAATATTCTTGTTTTTTTCATCAAGCAAGTTATTGTCTTATTGATCACACAGAAACTACTATTTGTTATTTTTCATTTTCCTACATGGTCATAAACAAGTTGCTTATAGCAAGCAGATTTAAACATATGTTAGAAGCAGTATTATATGATAAGGTGCTAACGTGCAGGATGTAATCTGCTCTTTGCTACTTCTTGCTGGACAACACCTAAAACCATGCATGTGAGGATTCAGGAAAGGAGATCAGATGCATATGCATGTCTACATGGCAATTTGATATTTGAGACCACAACACACTTGCAGTAGTCAAGTCTATGGACTACAAAGGGATACGCCAAATGTATTGCAAAAGTATCAGTATAACATCATATGAATAAATTGTATTGCAAGTAATATAGTAAAAGATGGAAATATGATTTTATGTTACGGAGCTCATGTGATTTTAAATTTTGTGACATGATAAAAGAAACATATATTGTTCCAACCTTGATAAAACAACTTGTTTAGATTTATTGTTGTTTTTTTCTAAAAAAATTGAATTGGGGGAGATAAATGTAATTTACCAGTAAAGAACATTTTGACATAATTTAGCATGGAATGTAAACTTTAGGAGAGAAAGCAATTTGAGGGGCAAATTTAAAATATAATGATTTGGGGACTTGACGAAAGAGCAATTTGAAGGGCAAATTTAAAAGTAAATGATTTGAGGGGTAAATTGACAAGTTCCCATGACTTAAAAGGGCAAATTTAAAAGTAAATGATTTGAGGGGTAAATTGACAAGTTCCCATGACTTAAGTGTATATATTCAAAAACCACTTTCAAAAATATACAGAAGCAATATATGTCAGATAATTTATTTTCATAATATGCTACCAAAAAAATTCAGTAGACTTCTTTATAAGTAAAACCAACGTTAAACATGCTCAATAGTTAATAGACTCAATATGAAAAAAAAAAAATTCCCACTCACTGAAAACATAAGGCTGCAATCTAGCTTCTATTATAATAGGATATAAGCTACACATTGATATAACTTACGTTTAGGTAAAACGCTTTGTGCGAGTTCAACCTCCACAATGGTCAATGGCGACATACCACAAGCACGATAAGGCAAAACACTTAATTTAGGCCTTGCAACTTCATCCAATAAATAAACTCGCGTACGATAGTCAGGAATATAAAAACCACATTTCAAATTAATGCTGCTACATATGAGTATTAAATTATATCCCCAAGTCCAATCGTATTTTCCATGAACATACATATTTAAATTTCAATGTTTAAAAAGTCAACGTTCAACGAGCAAATATTAATCGCTGAATCATCAAAGAAGCCCATAAAGAACAGCTGAAGTAATGAATACCAGTACAAGTTCTTGACCACCTCAACAAACCTGAGAAGAGATACGGCTCATGTGCCATTCTCAATAGTTGAATCTCATAGGAGCAACAGCCTCTAAAATAGAGCAAATGCTCGTCGCTAAATTAGAATTTGCAGATCCGGCTTAAAGATTTCTTGAAATTGCAATAACACCCCTCAATTTACCAGAAGGCTGAAAGCCATTGCAAAGGAGATCTAAGAGAAGGCTGATAGCAAATACGGAGTTCTGATTTGTCTTCAAGATCTTGAGACAAACTTCTTGGATTTGATTATCAATTCCTAAAAGTTCAGTCTTGCCTTGGTACAAGCCTCGAAGATATCTCCATGGGCTTTCATTCTCATGGTTTGCTAAGTTTGCTAAGATTGTATAAACTACCTCAGATTCTCGCATGGCTCGAAGGCCTCCTTGAAGTGGAGATCTTGAGATCACGAAGTACCTCTGTTACAAAATAGTAAGCGCACAAAGAATATTTGTCAGGTAAAAGCAAAAAAGGTAGAATCAAAGTCAGAAACGAAAAGAAAACAGATGCAAAGCACATAATCGAGTTTGAATATTACATGTGTGTCAATTATTGAGTTTGAATATTACATGCTTTCTTAACTTGACATATCTCGTACTATATATATATTTGAGACCAGCCTTGCTTTTGGTCATGTGTGTCAATTTTAAAACGCCCGGAACTATCCTCATAACTTAAATTTCTTCCTAACTCATCTGATGAACAAATTTGTAAAAATGCAAAAGTAAAAACAATAAGCAATGTTTTTAATAAGTTTAAAAAACATGTTCTACAGATCACGTGTTCAACTTTCAAGAATCCAAAAACTACCCCTGACCACTTAAAATCATTTTTGACGCTTATAAAAAATCCTTTTTAATTAAACTAAGGAACAAACGTAGCAAATTTTAAAAACAAATTTAGTAAAAACAGATGTTCCACGTACTTTTATGCAAAGTAGTTCATAATTTAAGAAGCAAAGTATAAATAGTTGTTATTGTAAAGATAAATATATACTAATACTTTCAGAACAAAATACTGAATCCCACTGATAGCTAAAACCTTTTAGAGTAGTTGAAAAATAACTTGCACAATTGAAAGTCGCATCATAACTATGAAAAGTAACTTACGCAGTTGAAAACTGCAGTTGCTCCAGGTCCTACATCATAAGTAAACAGTCATTTAGACAAGTAAAATAACCACAAAGGGGAGGAGAAACACTAAAATCTACAAATGGTTCCTGAAGTAGTTACACGAGAAACAAATTCAAATATAAAATTGAAAAGAGGGTGAGAAAACAAAATGAAAATAATATATAAAAGGAGAAAATAATCCAGATTTTAATTTTGTAGGCTAGTGCAAACCTATTTCTAAATCATGTCATGGTTGAGCGCAGCAATATACTTTCTCGACATTGATGAAAGGATACACTCATTGAGTGCAACATGAGGGAAACTCGAGTGACCACTTCCTTCTCTACCACCCATATCTGAGGTCACAAACATAAGAACGATGTTATTTTTATTGCATAACATGAGCTACTGTGGTATATAACAGACACATTAATGCCAACTCTTAAGAATTCATTAGAAGGAAATGCTAATATTGTAGTCGTGTATTTTCCGCTACCTTCAGCAAGACACAGATAACACGAATACAACCAAACAATTGTAATATGTATGCCTTATGAATGAATGCAAAGTAATAACTGTAAACATTTTATTATATTCATGTTTACTTGCATCCTCAGAAAACATTTTCATACCAAATATGTACATCAATCATGAGAATAGCCAAAAACAACATGCTAGCCTCAGTATATTTCTGAGAATAGTGAAATAATGCAGCTATTAGTTCAATAAACTGAGCATATAATGCAACAGTTTTATAAGGAATTTAGTAACATCAAATTTTTTATTTCTTGTTGTAACCCATAGCATGTTGGAAATGTTGAACAGTAAGGACTTTCAAGCCTCTCACTTCAACTATCTATATCCTGCCTTATAGAAGGGGGTTTGTTCTACTCCGTAAAGGCATAACCTTCATGGCAGGAAGTTAACCTTGAGTGTTTTACAAAGGTACAATTTGTCAAACAAAAAAGTAGCAACAATGAATTTCAGGCCATCAAATGCTAGAAATAAATGAAAATTCTTTGAAACTGGATTTAGCACTCCTTTAACATGAGACAAACTGCATATATTTTAAAAAATTCCGTGAATAAGATATAATTCTTCAAGCATGAATAGTTTGTAGTAAAAAGGAAAAAAATTTGTGATGCAATGGTTTTGTAACGCTATACAGGTTATCCCTCATTTTGTGAAACAGAACAAACTTATCTCACTTCTAGCAGAGCTGTCAATCAAAACAAATGGTCTTACAGTAGGTGGTTGAATAGGAAGAAGTTGTAATATCATTCAATCCGGACGATCATCTTTCGGTATGAAACCTAGTAGTATGCAATCTTCATTGATTATTCTTTTAAAAACACTGAGAACCTGGCCATGTCATAAAACAGAAACAAATAAATTTGGGCTACTAAAAGAAATAATTTACAATAACAATTTTGTAAAATAAGCTACCTTCTTTATAGAAAGCTATTGTTTCCTTTCAACAGGTTCAGGAAGTTGTGCTTGGTCATCATATATCTTGCAAATGACTCATCAACAATAGTTTGTGTGCAGTATAGATAAGTAAAAAATAGTTGACATGAAAATTTAAAGTAATAAAGTGAACTATTCTCTGAATATGTATTTATATTCACATTATGAGAAAATGTTAAATTATTAAATCTAGACGTAAAAGTGTATTACAAAAGTGCACATCATTTCACACAATGTTTTAAAAAGATGACACGAAACAAAGGAGGCTTATTAGAAATTTACTAAAATACTATTAATGAGGAATATATTTCTTGTCCACGTTATGTGTGCATGTACTAAATTTGTAGAAAAAACAATAACTAACCCATTTCCATTTGAAAATACAAAAAAAAAAATGACAGAATTTGTAGAAAAAAAAATTAATGGGAACACATAATGGCTCAGTATAGATAGGAAGCTACTTCACAACAGTAGATATAATGGCTCAATATAATTGAAGAAATGGGAGCACATGATGGTTTAGAATCAAATTCAACAGAAAGAAGTTAAGTCACGAAAACATATTCTCTTATAAGATAGACAAGGAACTACCTGGTGCATTTCATAGCCGACAAGGAATTAAACAAGAACTTAATAAAGTTCTACTTCTTGTTCATAGAAAAACATTCAGCAGGCATGTTCATAGAAGTAGGAAAGACGTTTGTTTACCATGAAAACAAATCAATAACCAAATTAACGAGTTAATAAATTTCTGACTTAATAAGTTTCTGCTCAAGAAAGTTCTCAGCAAGCCACCATTTCTACTTCACTACATTTTTGTGTGTAAACCACCTTATCTACTTCACTACATTTTTGTGTGTGCGCGTGAGTAGAATTCATTTAAAGAAGCTGGGTAGGAACTCTGACGAAGTGCACTCCAAAGAAAAGAGTGTATAAGTATTAAATATTAAGGAAATTTTGAGAAACACTCCCACAAATATTTTTAATTTTGAAATGCTTATATTTAAATATAAACATCAGCAGATCTTATATATTGAAATAACCATCCATTTTGGGCATATAAATATAATTTAGTGAACCTTCCAAGAGGATGTTTCTGATGTGTGTATTAAATATATTATTAAAATGGGAGAAATATTTTGCAGCCACAAAAAAACGTTTATTGTGTTCTTAACAGATGCAGGGGTTAAATTCTTCTTGCATTCAAACAGCTGAGAACTGTGCTTCAGGTTTTTCTTCTTAAGGTGCGCTAACTTGAAGGACAAACTCATTATGACAATTAGACAATTTCTATCCCTGTAAATGTTTTGCAAGTTCTCCCTTCATTCTTCCGTCTCTTTACGTTTTTATTGTTAAAAAGTTTGTCCCCAAAATCTGCTGCTGCTTCATGCCATGCCGGTTCAAGCATAACTTAGAGGTTTTTTAATGCAACTATTATCTGCTTTACATGATATCTACATAGTAGACATTGCAAGTTCACGTATCATTAAGTTTACTAAATTGTGAATTCATCTCTAGATGTGTTTGGAGCATTCATTGTTCATATAGGATTCATAGATATGAACCTGTGTATATTTATGTTTTGCCCATAATATCTACTTTTTTTGCTCCTATTTATCTAAATGCTATCTCCTTGTGTACACAGTGGCTGTTATTTGCTCTATGAGCTGAGAAAAGCAAGTCCTAAATTGTTGACTCATGCTTAGTGAATATGGGTGATGAAGGTTGTGAGGATAGAGAAGAGGAGCATGGTGAGACCTTATGTTGCGCCTGTGGAGATAACTACGCATCTGATGAGTTTTGGATTTGCTGTGATATCTGTGAGAAGTGGTTTCATGGCAAATGTGTGAAGATCACCCCGGCTCGTGCTGAGCATATTAGGCAGTACAAGTGCCATTCTTGCACCGGCACCAGCAGCAACAAGCGATTTTGTGGATCCTGAGAATACATTAGGGCTGTGGACAGGTTTGTGCTTCTAATGACTCTAACTTGTAACAATGCTCAGTTAGCTGTTCTTAATAGTTGGTCAGTCACAATCTGTATTTTTACGTTGTAGTTAATGTAGCATTTAGTAATGTATCAATGGTTAGCAAAACACCTAAGGTCTATTTTTCCTGCTGCTTTACGCTAGTTCCCTCAGAATCATCTTTATCTATTCATTATCAAGAGGTTCATATTATTATCTGTTTTATATCTGTTTTTTGGGTGCTAATCTGTTGGTGGCTTTACCATAGGTTCATGTTCTATTAGTGATTCTGAAGCAAACTTTTCAGAAATGTGGTGATTGATGCATGTGATGTTTGTTTATTAACATTTTATAGGTTGGTTAAAGTTGTAGCTAAGAATAACAGTAGTATAAAAATACAATACATGGGTTCAGCTAACTATGGATTGCATGTATATGGAGTTCTTACAGGAGAAGATGGATTGTGCACCAAAGTGAACTCATCCCTATTGAATAACATGTAACTATCATTTACCATTCAAATAAGCATCCATTTTGTGCATATAAATACAATTTGCTATACCAAAGTGAACTCATCCCTATTGAATAACATGTAACTACCATTTACCATTCAAATATTCATGTTACATGCAGATAGTGGTTTGTCTGTGCTGAATTACAATAGCATAAAGATGCAGAACAGGATTAGTATTTTTTACATGGGTACAATCATGGGCTTGGTCTAATGGTCAATACTAATGCTGCTAGATTACGAGAAGTATAGTCTTGGAGTTCAGCTAACTGCAGATTGTGAGTATCCGCGGAGTTCTTGTAGGACATGGGTTGTCCATAAGACTGTAATGAATCTATCCCTATTATATCACAAATAACTACCTTTTTACCATGCACTCCCTTGATCATTTCTCACTCAGATAACCTTTTTTCACTTCTATTTCCATCAAATTGCCTCAAGTTCATACTTGTTAACAAATCACAGATGTTCCTCTAGAAAATGAAGTTTCTTCAACTCATACCACAAAAAGAATCATCAAATCTCCACACCATCCAATATGACTACTCTTGTATGTGTAGTTATTTTGCCATTGTCATCAAAAAAGTTCCAACTAAAAGCTTCAGCCCAAAGTCAGGGTTAGAATACGATGGTCTTAATTCAATACTCGTTAAACTTCTAGGACAGTAAACCTAAATTTTGTTGTACAATTAATCATATATAGACCACCAGTTTAACATCATATAGAAATCTAATGACCAAAGTATCATACTTAGAAAGGCAATTAGAAGATTCGAGAGGGCGAATCCTATGAGCAAGAAGATGCACGAACACGTAGAAAAGCTAGGAAACTTGCAATCTTTTTTCTTATTAAAGGATCTGTAATAGTTTTGATTTTAATATATTTTAATGTTACAGGCAGTGTCAGCTTATATACTACTTCCTTCAGTTGATATACTTATACTTGAAAGTGTTTAGAAACATGTTTTACATATAAGACATTGGATCAGTTTCTTTGATCCAATGTACTTTATTATTAATGCTTAAGATACTATGTTGAGATGTGGTTACTTGATTTGATGTTGGATTAATGGGTGTATTGTTGAATATCACCCAGTTTCTGATTTGTTTGGTCTGACTAACCAGTTATTAGGCTTGTGAATATGTTCTGACAAACGCGCATAGTTATTTGCTTTTTTTTACAGGAATTCCTCGTTATCCTGGACCATACCCACCTATGATTCGCCCTGGCTTTCCTCCTCGTCCGCTGCCTCCAATGGGTGTGATTCCGCAAATTCTTCGACCTCCTATTCCTGGAATTCGTGGTCCTCATGTGGTTTCTCCAGTTGTCAGGCCCGTTGTTCCTGCTGTTGCAACTGAGAAACCACAAACAACAGTGTATGTTAGCAAGATAGCTCCAACTGTTGATAATGATTTTCTCCTCTCTCTTCTTCGAGTAAGTTCCACTGAACAAACTTTAGTAAATCTGTAAGACTGTAACTTTTATGGTATTAGATGTTTGTAACAAAAGGCGACTATGATTCATGTTTTATTTGTTGATATTGTCTCTCTTTATCTTTTTTATGTGCTTAAATCTGGAAATTTTCGTACTCCTAATTTGTCTTCTCTTGAAGCTTTGTGGACCAGTGAAGAGTTGGAAACGTGCTCAAAATCCCTCTGATGGCTCTCCTACAAGTTTTGGCTTTTGTGAATTTGAAGCTGCTGAAGGAATTCTTCGAGCTCTACGTCTGCTAACTAAGTTGAACATTGATGGACAAGAGCTGGGGGTAAGTTGGTTTCTCTGTCTCTTTAGATATAATTTTTGGCATGCTATGGAAATCTCATAGCTTGATCATAACATATCAAGATTAAAGCAAAAGTTAATATTACATGGATATGCACTGTTGCAGTCAAGTAGCCTAAAGTGTCCAGAATAAGAACATTTGGGGAACCTGTATTGCACACACTTACTCTTAAGCACACTAAAGAATATCAAATATGTAATATCCACATGTAACAAGTAATGCACGCTACGCACTGAACAAACTTTTTAGTGTATTTTACAGAACAAGACCCTGAAACTAAAACATCTGTCAAAGTAATGTAACGCCTAAGTGACAATATTGTCAACAAAGAATAGAAAGGGGGGAAAAAGAAGTTTAACCACTGTTAATTACCTGCCCAGTCAATAGAGGTGTGTCGGCAGCAAGTTTTGTCGCAACCGGTCGAGGAGTACGAACATGCCAAGTCTGCAGAAAAAAGACATTATGTTATATCAAATTGTTTAAGAGAAGCCATGTCATAAAACAACAAGCAAGCATTTCGCTGACCTGAAGCATAGTGAAGTTCTTATTGATGCCTTGAAACTCCAACTCTAGCACTGTGTCCTGCAAACATCACACAATAAATTGCAAGACTAAAACTCAATAGTACAAAAGTTCAAGCAGACAAAATTCTAGAGTTGATCTCATTACTAACCTGGAGACTATACTGACCAGCTGGGGCAATATGACTTATTTTTCCCATTGAACCAGGAGGTAAAGCAACATGGTGCTGCATCAAAGTGTTCTCAAAGACAGTCTGACGGAAAAAAAAAACAGAGTTTACTTCTAAGTGTTAGATCATTGAACAAAAATGAGTACAAACAGGATAATATGTGAACACAAGACCAGAAATACTGACAGCATATAAATCTCCACCAGTGAGGAGATCTCCAACAGCTGAAACAACCAAATATAAAGGATCAAATCTTTGAACTAAAGAGCAATTAAATATCACACAATGCACAGAAATCAAATCAAATTACCTAACTTCTTCGGCTCGAACTCCCACAGTGCATCCTTGTCAAGAGCAGGGACCGAAACTCCACGAGGAATGTAGACATCTCCAGATCTAATAGCAATAGTTTTCAGGGGTCTCTGCATCAAATAAGAAAATGGATCATTAAGGAAGATACATAATAATCACAAATCAGAAGAAATTTTAAGACTTAAACTCTATATACCTGAATTCCATCGGAAGATACATAATAATCACAAATCAGAAGAAATTTTAAGACTTAAACTCTATATACCTGAATTCCATCAAAAACATTTCCAAGAATTCCAGGTCCCAATTCCACTGATAGGGGCTACAAGAACAGAACCGAGCAATGTAACATAAATCTAGCATAAAATAAAATTCAAACCAAAGGCATTACAGTATGGGTCTTTTTTATTTTAACCCAATTCTATAACAGTGAAGTATTTTTTAACCAGGCCACGACCAAAATCATTCATGCATCCAAGACACCCATAAAGATCGTATTTATAGCATAAGAATAAGATCCTTTTTTATAGTACTTAAACTAATATTATAGCAGCTTAATGAGTATTACAGCAGGTTAGATCCAATTATAGAATTTTACCATATAGCAGATTAAAACATAATTTGGGTTTAAAAATAAATGAGATTGTTTTGGGTATCGAATAATTTGGAAGTGTGAGTATAAAAACAAATCCGGGTAAAAAAATGGGTTTCAAATTTTAAAAAAAAAAACTTCATTTAAAAATTCTAACAAGCAAATCTCTCATCTATAACTGTAAATGAAATCATTACTTTTGCAATGAGATAATGTTCTTCAGACGTCTAGCAAATATTTGCACTTGGATAGCCGTCTAAACAAGCGCGTGTACTCAGGAGTTCATGTTAACCTAAAACCCAATCCTTTTATGCTAACCTAAAATTCTGCATGACTTCTGAACAGGCGTCTAACAACCAAGCTGCACTGAAATAGATGAGGAGGTTTTATCAATATTTAATCTTATAAAAACATTCTGTTTCTCTACTGAAGGCATAAACAATATATAGGGTCTAACCGAGTACATGATGTGCACATGTATATGATTTAATATTGGCATATTGATAATCAGAATTTAATCTTCGCTATGTATGTGGCTGGATGCCTGATTGTCTGGAAAGTACTTGGTCCTTGAACTAAAAACTTAACATTGTGGTGTATTAATTATCTAACATAAACCTTGAAAGGCCCGCATCATGCAAACATGTCATCACTTTAGAGCATTAGTACGTTGCATTTTGTTATATGTGTCTGCAACTTTTTTTTTGGTATGACTTCTTACTCACAGTAGATTAGGATTTTCAGTGAAGTTTACAGAACAAAATCCTAAACCTAAGCCCATTTGTCGCTCCCGAGCTCGTCATTCAAGCTCTAATGGCGGTCGCTTCCCCCTCCTCCCCCAAAACCCTAGATCCCAAATCCGATAAACCCGACGCCTCATCTGAAAAGCCCAATCCTGATCCCTCTTCTCAATCCGGAAACCCTAATCCCGATCCGAACCCAAACCAAAACGCAAACCCTAACGCTAACCCTAATATCGTCGCCCCTCCTCCTCCTTCCTTTGCCCCATCATTCCGTCCCCTCGGAGCTCCGCCGATGCCGCAGTACTCCGCAGTTCCAAACCCTAACCCTAGCATCCAGCCGCCTGGGGTTTCCGCGCCAGTGACCTACATGATTCCAGGCGTTGCATCTGGGGCCGGATCGGTTACAGTTTCGGCCCCTCCGATGAGGTATCCGCCTCCTGGAGCTCCTCCAATGGCGTACGGCCAAGTCCCCAATGGATACATGACCGGTCATCCGCCCGGTGGGTCCCTTTCTTTCTTAAAGCTTTGATTTTCTATTGTATTTTTTGGTTTAGTCGTAGCGATTCATTCTTTTGCGATGTTTTATCGAATTATCAATCATTTGGACAAGATGTTATAAGGTTATATATGAACCTATGTTGGTCTTTTTTGGTTGGAATTTGCGGGTGGGCACAAATGGGGGAGAGATAAAAAGGTGGAAAAAGAAAAAAGAAATAGATAAGGGATTCATAGATGACGGAATATTTTCTCGTACAGCATGTTCATGATGAGAAAAAGGTGGGGCAGGCTTCCTCTTGCAAATATTGACAGATCACTTCCACAGTGTGGTATGCTTAAATTCTCTTGGTACTGCCTTTTTAGCATATTTTCTTCTGTTTAGTCAAATCTTTTTGTAAAAAGGGGGAAACTTTGTTAATTTATCATGGCAACAGATGTATAGTAAGAGTTTTCCATATGAAAGATTAAAGTTTATCCAACCTACTGGACTTTATAGAGAATTTCCTTGACAGTGGATCATGTGTAGCATCTAAGTGCTGCTTGCAATAATGTCCTAAGGTACATTGTTTGCTTTTGAATACTTTTTTTTTGTTTGCTCATATTCATTTTATCGTATAAGTATCTGTTACTATGTGTTTTGAAGAAGCTTTTAGACATAATTTATCTTTAAAGTTGTTATTGTAAAATAGTCCACTCTCCACTGCCATGGTGTGAGCTCAGCAAGACTAATGTACCCTTTAGTATCTGGGGTTACTCAAGATTATGTTCAAGAACTTTAATAAGGTAAGCCCACCTGTGCAGCACATATCTTTATGATTTTATTGTATGGTAACATCGTTCCGCATTTTTGTTATATTTTCTCTTTACATTTGTAAATTGATGTATACTTTGAAGTGACTAACCAGTTATTAGGTTTGTGAATATGTTCTGACAAGCGCGCATAGTTATTTGCTCTGCTTTTGCAGGAATTCCTCGTTATCCTGGACCATACCCACCTATGATTCGCCCTGGCTTTCCTCCTCGTCCGCTGCCTCCAATGGGTGTGATTCCACAAATTCTTCGACCTCCTATTCCTGGAATTCGTGGTCCTCCTGTGGTTTCTCCAGTTGTCAGGCCTGTTGTTCCTGCTGTTGCAACTGAGAAACCACAAACAACAGTGTATGTTAGCAAGATAGCTCCAACTGTTGATAATGATTTTCTCCTCTCTCTTCTTCGAGTAAGTTCCACTGAACAAACTTTAGTAAATCTGTAAGACTGTAACCTTTATGCTATTAGATGTTTGTAACAAAAGGCGACTATGATTCATGTTTTATTTGTTGATATTGTCTCTCTTTATCTTTTTTATGTGCTTAAATCTGGAAATTTTCGTACTCCTAATTTGTCTTCTCTTGAAGCTTTGTGGACCAGTGAAGAGTTGGAAACGTGCTCAAAATCCCTCTGATGGCTCTCCTACAAGTTTTGGCTTTTGTGAATTTGAAGCTGCTGAAGGAATTCTTCGAGCTCTACGTCTGCTAACTAAGTTGAACATTGATGGACAAGAGCTGGGGGTAAGTTGGTTTCTCTGTCTCTTTAGATATAATTTTTGGCATGCTATGGAAATCTCATAGCTTGATCATAACAGATCAAGATTAAAGCAAAAGTTAATATTACATGGATATGCACTGTTGCAGTCAAGTAGCCTAAAGTGTCCAGAATAAGAACATTTGGGGAACCTGTATTGCACACACTTACTCTTAAGCACACTAAAGAATATCAAATATGTAATATCCACATGTAACAAGTAATGCACGCTACGCACTGAACAAACTTTTTAGTGTATTTTACAGAACAAGACCCTGAAACTAAAACATCTGTCAAAGTAATGTAACGCCTAAGTGACAATATTGTCAACAAAGAATAGAAAGGGGGGAAAAAGAAGTTTAACCACTGTTAATTACCTGCCCAGTCAATAGAGGTGTGTCGGCAGCAAGTTTTGTCGCAACCGGTCGAGGAGTACGAACATGCCAAGTCTGCAGAAAAAAGACATTATGTTATATCAAATTGTTTAAGAGAAGCCATGTCATAAAACAACAAGCAAGCATTTCGCTGACCTGAAGCATAGTGAAGTTCTTATTGATGCCTTGAAACTCCAACTCTAGCACTGTGTCCTGCAAACATCACACAATAAATTGCAAGACTAAAACTCAATAGTACAAAAGTTCAAGCAGACAAAATTCTAGAGTTGATCTCATTACTAACCTGGAGACTATACTGACCAGCTGGGGCAATATGACTTATTTTTCCCATTGAACCAGGAGGTAAAGCAACATGGTGCTGCATCAAAGTGTTCTCAAAGACAGTCTGACGGAAAAAAAACAGAGTTTACTTCTAAGTGTTAGATCATTGAACAAAAATGAGTACAAACAGGATAATATGTGAACACAAGACCAGAAATACTGACAGCATATAAATCTCCACCAGTGAGGAGATCTCCAACAGCTGAAACAACCAAATATAAAGGATCAAATCTTTGAACTAAAGAGCAATTAAATATCACACAATGCACAGAAATCAAATCAAATTACCTAACTTCTTCGGCTCGAACTCCCACAGTGCATCCTTGTCAAGAGCAGGGACCGAAACTCCACGAGGAATGTAGACATCTCCAGATCTAATAGCAATAGTTTTCAGGGGTCTCTGCATCAAATAAGAAAATGGATCATTAAGGAAGATACATAATAATCACAAATCAGAAGAAATTTTAAGACTTAAACTCTATATACCTGAATTCCATCAAAAACATTTCCAAGAATTCCAGGTCCCAATTCCACTGATAGGGGCTACAAGAACAGAACCGAGCAATGTAACATAAATCTAGCATAAAATAAAATTCAAACCAAAGGCATTACAGTATGGGTCTTTTTTATTTTAACCCAATTCTATAACAGTGAAGTATTTTTTAACCAGGCCACGACCAAAATCATTCATGCATCCAAGACACCCATAAAGATCGTATTTATAGCATAAGAATAAGATCCTTTTTTATAGTACTTAAACTAATATTATAGCAGCTTAATGAGTATTACAGCAGGTTAGATCCAATTATAGAATTTTACCATATAGCAGATTAAAACATAATTTGGGTTTAAAAATAAATGAGATTGTTTTGGGTATCGAATAATTTGGAATTGTGAGTATAAAAACAAATCCGGGTAAAAAAAATGGGTTTCAAATTTAAAAAAAAAACTTCATTTAAAAATCCTAACAAGCAAATCTCTCATCTATAACTGTAAATGAAATCAGATAATGTTCTTCAGACGTCTAGCAAAGTTTTATTATGGTGAATAGCATTGGAAGTTTAGGTGTTAATAACTCCAGGGACCGTTTCAGCAATGTTTTCATGGATACAGTTACACTTCATGGTACTCAAAATGGAGTCAGAATCAAAACCTGGCAGGTAACTTAAACGAGTTGAGGGACTACTGAAATAGATGAGGAGGTTTTATCCGCAATTTAAACCTGGCAGGTAACTTAAACGAGTTGAGGGACTACTGAAATAGATGAGGAGGTTTTATCCGCAATTTAATCTTATAAAAACATTTTGTTTCTCTACTGAAGGCATAAACAATATATAGGGTATAACCGAGTACATGATGTGCACATGTATATGATTTAATATTGGCATATTGATAATCAGAATTTAATCTTCGCTATGTATGTGGCTGGATGCCTGATTGTCTGGAAAGTACTTGGTCCTTGAACTAAAAACTTAACATTGTGGTGTATTAATTATCTAACATAAACCTTGAAAGGCCCGCATCATGCAAACATGTCATCACTTTAGAGCATTAGTACGTTGCATTTTGTTATATGTGTCTGCAAATTTTTTTTGGTATGACTTCTTACTCACAGTAGATTAGGATTTTCAGTGAAGTTTACAGAACAAAATCCTAAACCTAAAACATCTGTCAAAGAGGACATACAACTCATTATTCACCAGAAATTAGAGAAAAACTGATATAGTTAGAAAAAAATCTAGCCCTCCCTAACTCAATAAAGTTTCCCCTCTTGTGTCTGAAAATACTATCTAATCAAGTCCTCCACCCCTAATTTCCTCAATTTAGCTAAAAAAAATAATTCATCAAAATTAACTAAAGGACAGAAACCATAATTTAACAAAATATAAAAATTTAATTTTTACCTGATGAAACTGACAAAGGAGCAATATGAAGACTTGAAGCAAGGCCTAATTCAGAAAATTTAATTTTTACCTGATGAAACTGACAAAGGAGCAATATGAAGACTTGAAGCAAGGCCTAATTCAGACAATCCTTGATCTATTGTTGAATTAGAACAAATATTGACAATTGATATGCACATGTCCACTTTACATATGATCACTAATTAAAAATTAAAAACTGGTTACAGGCAATTAAAATTGATTTAGCACCCTTTTAACATGAGACAATCTGGATCTATTGTAAATTAAAGAATGTAAATCAAAACATGAGCGTATTGTAACAATAACTTCACTAAAATTTGAATGAAAAGCAGGTATATAACAAGAAATACCTAATTTAGGAAAGAAATCACAACAGATACAGCTACTGCTGGAATATTTAAACCCTTGTCGATTGAAACTGTAGGAAAACGAAAATTAGGTCAAAATTATAACAAAATTAAAGGTCTGAAGAACTGAAAAGGGATAGAGTGAATTGAGCAAAACTAAAGCTTAGAGTTAGGGTTTTGGATAGAGGAGTGAAGATGAAGAAAAAATACCTTCCTGAATGCCCAATATCTGAAAATTTTGGGGATGAATTCGGAATTTCTGAACAAATACTGAGCTTTGAGAATCTCTGTAACGCTTCGGCTTTGGCTGAGAAGGGTAAGCTATGAATAATAATCATCTTTGCAAACGCTTCGGCTTCGTCGGAGAAGGTAAAACGATGAACTCTTCGGCTACGGCGGAGAGGAATTCGTAACCGATGTGTGAAATTCCCGATGTTAATGACGAATTTTCTGTAACGGTGGGAGAAATTAGGTATATCTAATTTGGTTGAAGGTTAATTTGGGAATGGGAAAGTTTTTCAGGAACTGACTCTTTTAAAGGGTATATATAGATATAGATATAGATATAGATAGATTATCAAACCAATCAAACATAATAAATGTAAACATTATCTATCCTAAGATTTCTAAAGGTGATGTGGTAAGCATATGGAAAACAATTTGATCTTTTTACAATTGGAACTAAATAACTCCTAAAGGAAATACAAAATAAGAGCGTAGATATTTTTTAAATTAAAATTTTGAAATTTAAATTAGGCTTAATCAACAATCCCTCCTTTATAACATCCCTTTTTTAATAGTATTTCAAAATTAAAACAAAAGAAAACACTACCTCACTTAATAAATTTGTAAATAGTTTTTATTTCAAAATTTTAAATTCAAACTAGGAAGGGACATGTAGTATTTTTTTTTGAAATGTAAGACTAATAACAAATCACAAATATATTTTTATATATAAAAGAGCATTTAAACTATTTTGTTTTCAATCTCTACGCGTTTATGTAGTTCAATTTATTTTTCCGCTCATAGAGTAGTAGATTCAAAATTTCTTTTCTTATGATGTCTCACTAGATTTTTCAAAGATCTTTTTGTAATTTTAGTTTCTTTTAAAGTTTTTTTGGTAATATTTTTATTTTAAGTGATATATTTGTTATTTTTAGAGTCTAGAGGGGGTAGTCTTAATTTTTTGGTGGTTAGTAAATTTTAGATTCTTTCATGGGGGTTCGCTGTAATTTTTAGAATCTAAAAAGGTTTTTTATAAATTTTAGATTTTTAGGAGGTATTTTGTAATTTTATACTTTTAGAGGGCTATTTATAATTTTTTCTAGTTTTTAGAAGTTTTTAAATAATTTATGAGTTAATATGTAAATAGGAATAATTTGGAAGGTATATATGGGCCCCGAGGGATAATATTATGTGCAATGTCTTACGAGGATAAGTGGGGAAAATTTTTTTGGTCATTTTCTAAAATTTTGAAACTTATTGGGAATTTAAAATATTTGCGAGCTTAACGCCAAACGACTAAAATTAGAAATTTAGTAAAATTTATCTTTTGAAAGAATGAAGGAGATTCATAGGACATTTTTAACAATGGCTAATAGCAAGCCATTAATCCTTTTTTATATATAAAAGAAGAAGAGAGTTAAAATTTTAATTATTATTAATTATAGATAATTAAAGAAAATAAAAAAATATAGTCATTAGATTTTTAATTACTAATTTTTTATAATTAGAAATTTCTAATTATTTTATTTTTAATCAATAAAAAATAATTAAAATTGAAAATATAAGTATTAGATTTTTTTAGTTGCTAAAAATTTAGATATAATTAGAAATTTCTAATTATAGATATATTTAATTTGATAAGAATTCTAATTATTATGGATTTAATTTGATAAGAATTCTAATTAAGGATATAAAATAAGCCTATCGTATAAGAATTATAATTTAATACTAAATTAACATATGACACATGGCGCTATCTTTTGTGCTTAGTTGTCACTTTTTTGTGCCTTTAGGAGTTCCGCTAATTTCTCATTATATAAAAAGGAGGGATATGCTGAGTTGTTTATCCATAAAGAATTTTAAAATGATAAAATGAACATAAAATGAACATAAAAAGATTGTTACTTTTAATCATAATAGATTATATTTTTTGATATTTTTAACTGTAAATAGTTAAATGATTTAATGTGACATACTATTGGGTTTTTTCAAGCAACCACCTTTAACTTAGTCTGATTTCACATTACCACCCTTAAATATCCGAGTTTTAGAAAACTACCCTTATCTACAATTAATTCTACAGACCGCGATACCTGCGCGGTCGACCGTCACGATCGACCGTCGAAGCGGTTTTGGGTTGGGTTTGGTTTCCAGACCCGTTTCGTATGGGATTTCTATAAATACCCAAAACTCGTTTTAGGGCTGGAGGCAAGAGGGTTTTAGCAGCCATTGAGAGGGGTTTTGTGGGCTTCTATTGTTGGAGCATTTGGGAGAGATCAAGAGTGATTTGTTGTGCGTTTTGGTGAGATTTGTAACCCTAGTTGTATCCCCTTGATTTCTAATAATGAAACCCCCCTTCCTTACCCCATGGACGTAGGCATTCACCGAACCACGTTAAAACTGGTGTATCTTATTTGTGACATTGATTTGGTGTGTTTGCTCTTCTCTCTCGGCTATTTGGTATTGGATCTCGGCATCGGGGTTTTCCCAACAAGTGGTATCAGAGCTCCGGGTAGCGCTTGGGCTTTTTTGGAGGAGTAAATCAGTTGGGAAGTTCATCTAGAGCTTCGGTTGGTGTTAAAGGTAGGATCTTTATGGTAAAGTTTCTATCTTTTCAAATTGGATCTATTTCTTGTTTGTTCCTCAATTGTTATTGTGTGCTTTGAGATATATGGCCGGGAAAGATAAAGCTGGGGAGGGTTCTTCTAGTGTGAAGACCGTCCAAAGTTTGAGTATCCATTCTATAAAGATAGATGTGGAGAAGTTCGATAGCACAAATAATTTTAAACTTTGGAGATGCGAAGTCTTGGATGCGCTAAATGCATAAAATTTAGAAGAAACGTTAGAGTTGGACGGGAAACCGGACGACATTGATGAGAAGGTTTGGAAGAAAATGAATAGAACGGCGTGTTGTATGATTAGGTCTTGTCTCACTCAAGATCTAAAATATGATGTGATGAATGAGACTTCGACTAAGAAGATTTGGAAAGTCCTATAGGGCAAGTATTTGACGAAGAGTGTTGAAAATCATTTGCATTTGAAGAGGAGGCTTTACCGCTTTCAATTGAAGAAGGAGACATCCATTAGTGATCACATGAACCACTACAAAAGCTTCTTGTAGATTTGGCGAATGTAGATATCATGGTTGAAGATGAGGACAAGGCGTTGCTATTGTTGAGTTCCTTGCTCGACGAGGAATATGAAACATTCGTCATTACTCTTATTAATGGGAAGGCATCTCTTTCGTATAGTAAGGTCACTGCGGCACTTGTGAATTATCAATTTCGTAAGAAGGACAAGGAGATTTCCATTGAGCCGGTAGTGGGGGCATTGGTCGCAAGAGCTAAGAGTCCAAACCGTGGTAGAATGTCGTAGTCTAGAGGGGCACATCCTGCAGTAGGTAGGAATCAGTGTGCCTTTTATAGAGATGATGGACATTGAAAAGTCGAATGCCTAAAATTACAAACCGGGAAGAATAAGGGGAAAGCTATTCAAGCTTCAGAGTTGAATGTTACCAGGGCTAGTGACGACATTTTAGATTCGGATTCTTCGGGCTATTCGTGCCCAGCTCTTCCGTCAGTTGGTGTTGCCGACTCTACCGAGTGGATGTTGGATTTGGGTACTACTTACCACATATGCCCTAGGAGGGATTGGTTCTCCAGCTTTTAGGAGTTGAAAAGAGGGGATGTTGTGCTCATGGGCAATGATCACAAATGCCCTATTGGTGGTATCGGTACTGTTCGGATTCGGATGAGTGACGGGATGATTCGTGAGTTGGTTGAAGTGAGGTTCATTCCTCAATTGAAGAAGAACATCATTTCACTTGGGGCATTAGAGGCAGTAGGCTATAGGGTGACCTTGACGGATGCACGTTTGAAAGTCACATTGGGGTCCATGATTATGATGAAGGGCATCAGAAGGAGCAATTTGTATTATCTGTTTGGGAGCATGGTGATTGATAGAGAGCTGACGACTTCTTTGGCTAGACTGTGACGTTGTTTATTGTTGGGATATATGATTGGTTATGTCGTACATAGGTTATTAAGGAGTGCTTTGACCTATAGATTGAAGTCTTTTGAGCACATTAGGATGACCTCGAGAAGACCGAGATGGAGTTTGACACTTCTATCCATCGATCGAGAGGTTTTATAGGAAGTGTTCAGTCAGGCATTTGGGGCCTTCCAAGGAGGCATCATTGGGAGGTAATCGGTATTTTGTTTCCTATGTTGAGGATTATACTAGACATTTATGGGTTACAACCAAGTCCCATTGGTATGAAGCCCTAGTAGTCTGCAACAGTTGGAGGAGGTGTACTGACAGAAAGATTACCGATCGTACTAGTTCTAGTAGGGGTTCTTTCTTGCATTTGTACCGAGCTCATGGTAGTTGGAGACACTTTGTAGGAGAGGAGACAATGGGGCGACGAGTTGAGATGGCGGATTCGGTGAGCTGCTCCTTTCTGGAGGAGGATCGGCGTTGGTTGTCGAGCAGTGCATTTTGCATTCAGGTTTCGACATGTTTGGGCTATCTTATGAGGTTGCCGACTGCTACATTGAGAGTCATTAGATCTGGTGGAGCTGTTTTAGATTTTGGTTGGCGTCAGATATGTGGTTACCTAGCACTTGGTCACATCGTGGATGTGAGATTGGATCCGATTATGCATTTGGGATTCAGAGGCTCGTTTGGCTATCAGTTGGGAGCTTTTGAGTTTGTTCTGAGCAGATATGTCACATTGGACTCTCGACAGGTAGAGATTGTGGATCAGATCAGTGGGATATCGCAACGGGTGGAGGGTGATGCTACTCCATGTTGGGTGGAGCTTACTCCACATACTCCAGATCATACTGTATTATTTGGGATTCCAGCTGGTGTGACACAGTTTGGGGATCATATTGTTCAGGATGCAGATGATGTGTTGGTAGATTCGAGTGCAGCTGGTGGATGTTGCTTGGATATGACTGTTGGTTCACCTCAGGTGGAGGTGTTTGGATCATCTCAGTTTGGGGCCGTTGGTAATGCTATTAGCAGCAGATTTGGCGATGTTGGTGGTGAATAGTTGAGAACTCTTCTATTGGATTGAGGGCCTTTGGAGGCCATTGGGTGAACTACGTGAAGACTTGATTCCTTGGGCAAGAGGATACGTAGGCAGTCTTTATGATGCAACCGATTTGGTAAGTAGACACTATTGTTTTGGATGAGTGTTCGCACTCCCGTATGGGTCTCGACTTGTTGTGGATGGAGTCCGTTGTCATGAGTCCGTTGCCATGGCGTACTGGACGCAACAAGTGAGGCACTTTGGTGTGGTCAGCGTCGTCTCAGTTTTGGGAAAACGTTCGCCGAGGTGGAGAATTGTAGAAATGGCAAGCGTATGGAGAAGACCGCTTGGACATGCATGAGTGTGCTTTTGAGAGTCTGGCGGTCGACCGTGGGATTCTGGCGGTCGACCGCATTCGTGCACAGATCGTTTCTGAGCTTCTGGGAGTTGGCGGTCGACCGTGGCGGTCGACCGCGTGAATCTCTGGAGTTGATGCGGTCGACCGTGGCAGTCGACCGCGATACCTGCACGGTCAACCGTCACGGTCGACCGCTGAAGCGGTTTTGGGTTGGGTTTGATTTCCAGACCCGTTTCTTTTGGGATTTCTATAAATACCTAAAACTCATTTTAGGGCTGGAGCCAAGAGGGTTTTAGCAGCCATTGAGAGGGGTTTTGTGGGCTTCTATTGTTGGATCATTTGGGAGAGATCAAGAGTGATTTGTTGTGGGTTTTGGTGAGATTTGTAACCCTAGTTGTATCCTCTTGATTTCTAATAGTGAAAACTCCACCTTCCTTGCCCCGTGGACGTAGGCATTCGCCGAACCACGTTAAAACTAGTGTATCTTGTTTGTGGCATTGATTTGATGTGTTTGCTCTTCTCTCTCGGCTATTTGGTATTGGATCTTGGCCTTGAGGTTTCCCAAACACTTGTTGTCTTCGCCAAAGTAATGTAATTAATCTTAAGTTGTATGAGCAGAACTCGTAATTTTCTTGCCTTAATGATTTTTATGTATTATGCCAATGCTACTTATGACTGAATACTTTCTTTTGACTTGCTAAAAGACCAGAGTACCCACATCTGTAAATAATTTCATGTTGGAACACAGCACGCATGTCACGTATTCAAGGGTGAAACTATAAAACTATTAACTTTTTTGGATGGAAAATCGGACAAAAAAGTACATTGGTGATTATATATTAACAGAATAGTAGATATGAATGGTTTTCGAAAACTCAGATAATTAAGGATGATAACGCAAAATAGGATGTAAATGATGGATGTTTTAGAAAAGACCCTTCTCTGAAATATAGAGTATCATGAAAAAGCAGTTCATTCAACGCAATATTGAAAGGTAGCTCGTTTCCTCAATCTTTCGTGATGATCCAATATTTTTCAATAATAAACATTCTGTGGCCGTATTTGGATGGAGAACTTGTTTTATCCACAAACTAATTTAACTTGCAATGATTCTATGATATAATAACCTAACACGCTATAGTGAACTAAATTTTTAGGGAGGGTTAGTCATCTAGAACTTAAAACTGGAACTGAGATAATTTGTGGGATAAATTTTTAAGGTGTTAGTCACATAGAACTAGGAAATGTGATATTTTTTATAGTGTTAGTCAAATAGAACTTTTGTAGAACTAGAATTGTATTATTTTTTTGATGCGTTAGTCAAGTAGAATTCTACTAGAATTAGAATTGGGATAATTAGTCATAATTATCCCACAAATTATACTACCTATATCTATAACCATAAGTTCTCCTCTCTCAAATTATCTCACACATTGAAAAGAATACAATTGAGAAAAAAAAGTGAAACGCTGCATCCCTCCCTCTTGGTTAGTTTCTCCGCCTAGAAAATTTCTCTGCCATGAAGTTAATCATCCGTTTATTTTTCTGTCTTTACTTTGTTTTTGTGATGATTAGATATTTTATTATTATCTTCAAGATGTATTACTTTATTGATAGCTTTTTGACGTTAAATTACTTTATTATTATTTGTTTGATCTAAGTTTTCTCTCCACAACAGTGGTTTAGGTTAAGAATATAGTGTTAGTGGGTTAATGCTAAAGTTATGCGGGTTATTTATGTTTTTTTATAAGTTAGAAAGCAACTTTGCGATCACATTGATGATTAGATGTTGAATGATTAATGGTGATATCTATTATTATTAAATCGGCTCAGTAAATTAATTGGGATATTTATAGTTCATCTATCGATCATCTGTTTAGCGGCCATGGATGATTCCTGTGTACATTTCATTTATTTGTTGATTTGGTTTCAGCGATCATGATGAGATTGGTCCAAATAGTTAATGGCTGAAAATGCTTATTTTTCTTTCTTTATGGTGTTATGAGATTTGAACTTCGACATTTATGATCCTCCACTAGAAGAAGCTCCACGAAATATTGCTGATGCAGACGATGACTCCAATAAAGAAGACAAGTTACAGACTCAACGAGCAGCTGTAGGAGCTTGGAGAAATTCTATGGCAGATGCCACGTGGGATGATAGAAGCCATGTGGGATGATGGAAGTCGAGTCACTCTAGGGATTTAGATTTTTATTTATTTGTAAATTTTTTTATTATTTGAAATGAATAGTGATGCTTTATTGTATTATATTTTATAGTTATTACTAGAATTTGCTTATCAATATTATATTATTTTTAATATACAATTATTAACAATAGTAATTTATATCCACCATTACCCCCACCAAATTATCCTACCAAATTATGCAACTTCATAATATTATCCATCATTATCCCACCAAATTATCCTATCAAATTATCCCACTTTACCAATTATCCATCATTGTTTCACTAAATTATCCCAGTGTCAAAAACTTATCATACTTTACCAATTATCTCAGTTCTACTTAAAAAGTTCTAGGTGATTAACCCATCCTTAGTAATTTATTTAGTTCAATATGTTGCTAATATCCCTAATACCTGCATCATGTTGGGGCACTTATCGTTATAAAGCAGTATATGATTAAGGTGTAATAACAAATGCCCACAACCCTTTAAATTAGATTGGGAAAAATGTTTCAAGGCCCCCCCAAAAAAGATCCAGATGTGGCCCAGCCCCACCATCTTTTTCCCTTACTTTTTAACCCTTAAAATCCCAAAAAATGTGTTCAGCCCCCTTTTAACACTCTCAAATGAATACATCCCAAAACATTCAGAAAATACTCTTTCCTTATCTTCTTCTTCTTCTTCTTCTTCTTCTCTGTGGTTTTCTCCTCGTCCCCCACTCCTCCTCTCAATCTCCTTCCCCTCCTCCCCCTCCTCCTCTCAATCTCCTCCCCCTCTCCCTCCTCCCCCTCTCAATCTCCTCTCAATCTCCTCCCACCCTCTGCTTGTGACCTCGTTATTGCTGCGTCAGGTAGAGGATTGAAAGAATTTATTTTAGAATGTTGTGGTTGGATTGAAGATACAAGTTTTGTTGGGAAAAGTGTGTTTGAGTGTATGATCAGAGGATTGAGCTT